CCACTGATAGATGAATGGATGAAGAAGATGTGATATATACACACACACACACACACACACACACAATGGAATATTATTCAGCAATAAAAAAGATGAAATCTTGCGATTTGCAACAACATGGATGGATTTAGAGGGTATAATGCTAAGTGAAATAAGTCAGAGAAAGACAAATACCATATGATTTCACTCATATGTGGAATTTAAGAAACAAAACAAATAAAAAAGAGATAAACCAAAAGACAGACTCTTAGCTATAGAAAACAAACTGATAGTTATCAGAAGGAAGGTGGGTGGGGGGATGGATGGTAGGTGATGGGGATTAAGAGTACACTTATCATGATGAGCACTGAGTAATGTATAGAATTATCGAATCACTCACTATATTGTACACCTGAAACTAATAATAACACTTAATTATACTGGAATTGAAATAAAATAAATATAAAAAAATTAAAAGAAAGAAATTGAATTAAGAAAATAGTCTAGGGGCACCTGCATGGCTCATTCAGTTAAGCATCTGCCTTCGGCTCAGGTCGTGATCTCAGGGTCCTGGGATCAAGCCCCACATCGGGCTCCCTGCTCATAGGGGAGTCTGCTTCTCCCCCTCCCCCCAACCCCCCTCCCTGCTCATGCTCTCTCTCTCTCTCTCACTTCTCCCTCAAATAAATAAAATCTTCAAAAAAAATTTTTAAATAGTCTTGTCTTTGCAACATGCTTAAAAATATTGGTATTATGGGCCTAGGATTACCTTATACTATCTCTTCTATTTGATATTTAGGGTGAAAAGTTAAGTGTTCAATGAAATAGATGAAAACAAACCCTATCACTGTGATTCTATTTAGAGCTCATTCATCAAATTAAAATAAGTAGCAATGGTATTTTAGAAGAAATTAAGCTTTAGCTATTACTGTAAATGTAACTATTACATGACTAAGGAAAGCTCCCTTTATCTTTCTAAGAAAACTTTTCTCTCCTTGGCTTTACTACAAGGGGAAGATAGAATCAGAACACTACATCTTTCTCAATTAATTCCTGAAGATTAGTAACTCACAATCCTGGTGACATACAAGAATCACTCAAAAAATTTTTCAAAATACAGGTTTTCTGGATCTGATGAATCAGAACCTCTGGGGGTTAGAGAGGGAGTGCCTGAAAACTCCCCCAAGTGAGACTGATGCGTATCAGTATTGATAAGCAGATACTAGATTCTAGAAGGAGAGTTTTCCTGGTCTCTAAATCTCTAACCTCTCTGAAGGGAGAGGCAGAGAAATGGGACATAATCTGGGAATTGGGGAAGGTGCAGAGATAAGTTTGCCTACATTTTTACATTAAATAACTGTTGACAGATGCTTGATGGGAGGCCAGAAAGTGTTGCCCCATGAGCCTCCATGGTTCTAATACAATCAAACATGTCCAGACTAGCACTTGTCCCTTTAAAAGTGGTGAGAAGGGGCATCTGGGTGGCTCAGTCGGTTAAGCTTCTGACTCTTGATCTCGGCTCAGGTCGTGATCTTGGTTCAGGTCATGATCTCAGGGCTGTGAGATCGAGCCCCAGGTCAGGCTCCACTCTCAGCACTGTTTGTGCTTGTCCCCCTCCCTCTGCTACCCCCCACCCAAATAAATAAATAAAATCTTAAAAAAAATAAAAGTGGTGAAAAGTCTGAAGGCCACTATCTACATGTCACTTCTGTGCTAGTTTGGTTTTAAGATGAGAGGCCTCAGTAAAGTCTAAAAGGTCTACCAGGACTTGTGCTCTTGCCTCTACCTACTTTTTCAGGCATATTTCATGCTCCTGTACCTTCTGCCTGTATCTCCAAACTAGCAAACTCTTCCATGTCTCTGAAACGTCACATATTCGCATTCTGTCCCTTCAGCTGAAAAATGTATCTTCCCTTCCAATACACTTCTCTTCTTGTCCCTTCCCTCTGCCTTCCTCTTTTCTCTCCTCTCTCTAATCAATCCCTAATTATTCTTTAAAGCTCATTTTAAAGGAGCTCTTCAAAGGAGACTTCTTCACAACTGAAATCAGGTGTCAGGTCCCTCTTTTAATTTCTCATCTCACTCTTTAATTTTTCTCTGCAGTACTTTCCAGAGTCTGGTGTTACACAGTTATTGATGACACTCTTTGTTTAATTTCTGCCCCCCCCCCCCATTTAAATCCTGGTTTTGTGAGAGTTGGGCCTGGCTCTCTGTTGCCCAGACCTAGCAAGTGTCTTTCTCCTAGTACAGGTTCAAACACTATCTGTTGAATGAATGAAGTAAATGAGAGAGAGACTAGTTTAGGTCATGCCTTTTCCCCATCCATCCATGCCAGAAAACTATTTCATTCACCCATTCAAGAGAATTTTTTAATTCCTCCAATGTGCCAATGTTTGTGAGAATTAAAATGATAAATCAGACATAGACTCTTTCCTTGAGGCCCATAGAGTCGAGTGGGGAATAAAAGAGAGGGATTCACATACCTGTTCGAGGTGCCTATAAGGGAAACCATGAACTTTGTTAGTAGGATCAAATTTCAGTCCTCCACTGTTGTCAAAGGAAAGACACTGTCCGTGTGAGAAGAGTGGGGGGCCCTCACAGGAAGCTGAGTGACCTCCTGAGTCAGCTGGATTTGAATCCTTCATGTTATGTCGCAGCTGCTTGAATTGAAAGCGTCTAACCTGTCCGTGAAGCACCTCCTCATCTGTAAGATGGTCAGTTTTCTAGTGGACAGGGAACACCGTCTCCACGGAAAATGTTTTTAACAGACTACTGTAGGTTCCGTCACACTGAAGAAGATGTCCGCACGGCAAATAGATATTTAGCATCACTAACCATTGGGGAAATGCACGTTAAATCCACAGTGAGATATCATGACACAGCTATCAGAACAGCTAAAATAAAAAATGACAACACTAGTTGCCAGTGTGGATGCTAGTGTGGATGTGGGGAAACTGAATCACTCCCACAGTACTGGTGAGAATGTGAAATGGCAGAGCCATTCTGGAAAACAGTTAGACAGTGTCTTAAAAAACAAAACAGAGCAGCTACCCTAGGACCTGGCAATTGGAGTCCTGGGCATTTAGCCCAGAGGAGAGAAGACCGACGCTGACACAAAAACCTGTACACAGATGTTTACAGCAGCTTTATTAGTGAACGCCCAAGCCTGCAGACAATCCAGAATTCCTTCAGCAGGTGGTGAAGCAAACTGTGATACAGCCATATCCTGGCATACTACTAAGAGACACAGAGAAATGAACTGTGAGCACCTGTGGCAATCCGGATGACTCTCCCGTTATGTTGAGTGGAAAAAAGCAAATCACAAAAATGTTACATACTATATGATCCCCTCTGTATACCATTCTTGAAATGTCAAAATTATACACATGGAGAACAGATTCGTGATTGCCAGGGATTAAAGAGGTGGGGGAGGTGGAAGGAAGTTTGTGTGGTTGTAAAAGGGTAATAGGAAGGATCCTTGTGGTGATGGAAGTGTCTGGAAGTCTCTATCTGTAGAAAATTGATGTAATCTCTCTGTATTATTTCTTACAGATACATATGAATCTATAGTTATCTCAAAATAAAAAAGATTACTTTTAAAAAATCAAAACGTGCAGGCCAAATCAGGGAAACAAGTATGTCAGTTTGGCAGTTACGACATGAGCCTTAGATCCGTGACATCATAATGGTAGTGATCTCAGGTTACTATGGAATCCTCAGGCTTCAAGCATTTTACAGTACTCTGCCTAGTGCTGTAGACTCACTTGATTTTCAGTCCTGAGAACTGAAGACAAAAGGATGTTCACATCATTCAGAAAGTATGCAGAACTTATAGGTGGTCATTCAAGGCTTCACTGCAGAAGGTAGTCTTTTGATATACTATTTTTGAGCCTCAAAACAGACTGACAATAACAGGAAGTGTTGTTCTCTTTTGTTTCTTCTAATACGTGTACACTAATGAGTAACTTCAGCACCAGCTTCGTGAAAGGCTACTCAGGTTCATAAGATTCAGTGCTGCTGAGCTGAAGAGAGCAGGGTTTACATTCTCGGAGGAGACACTTTCTTGGCTCCACGAGAGAGAATTTTCCCAGGTCTATGAAAATATCTGTCCTATTTATGAAAGAACTTTTGCATTCTGTTCAATTTAGCTGTTTTACCTATGATGACCAGAAAGTCCTATCAGAGCTCAGTCAGAGCTCAGCCAAGTAATAGCTAAACTCTTGTGTTTAGAAACTTTTTGATGTTTCCAGTATTTTTGCCGATCTTTGAGAATTTTTCCCCCAAGTTTGAATATTGATTTAGATAAGATTTAGATAGATTTAGATAAGTAAATTTCCAGAATCTTCAGTTGTCTTCATTTTTATCTTAACATGAAAGCAAATTGTAATTAATTCTTCACACACACACCGTATCATTTTGTTTTATATTAGGCCACCAATTGTCCTGTTTGTTGTTGTTGTTTGTTTGCCTTCTTGTAATACACTCTACCTCTTGATCCTCCCCTTCCTAAAAGCTCATGATTAGCTTTGCTGCTTTCTCCACCCCACGTCTAAGTGTTGGCATGCCCAAGGGCTTTGTCCTTGAAACTGTTCTCCATCTGCATCAATTCACCAAGTGACCTCATCTCTCTCTCCTTTTTTAAAATATTTTGTTTATTTATTTGAGAAAGAGAGCATGTGAGAGAGAGAGAGAGAGAGCTCAAACAGGGTGGAGGGGTAGAGGCAGAGGGAGAAGCAGGCTCCCCGCTGAGCAGGGAGCTCGACGTGGGACTCGATCCCAGGACCCTGGGATCATGACCTGAGCTGAAGGTAGACGCTTAACCGACTGAGCCACCCAGACGTCCGACCTCATCTCTTTCAATAGCTTTCTATAACTCAGCGATCCCTGAATGTGAGCTCTGGAGCTCTGCTTTCGGGGTTGAGACTAAATTTTAGTGTTATGCGAACCTTGACATTTAGCATAAAACTCTATTGTATATTTGACTAGTAACTAGCTGCTCCGTGGTGTTTGGTGGGTTGCAGGAAGAGCTCTTCTGTTGAGGTGGATGCCTGCAGCAAAAGCACTACATCATCTGAGGGTGCCGCCCATACCCTGCTTATCCACGGCCCCGTCGAGCTCAAGAGAGGCTGGAGGAGGCAGAAGCGGCACCTCTTCTTATTCAGCGATTTCTTGCTGGTGTCCGATACCAAGTATGTATACTAAGCAACGTGCCCTTGTGATGATCACGAAGTTACATTTCCATTAACCCTTACCATGAGAAGACATGACATTTTTTTTCTTTTGTTTTTGCCCATGTTTGGATCCTTCATTCATTCAACAAGTACTTATGGAGGTCTTGTTTTGTGCCATACCCCCCTCTCCCCCCCGCCTGCAGAGAATACAATAGAGAATGTGACAAGCAGTGTGTCTCTTGCCTGGAACTTACAAATGACAAAAATAAGAGGGGTAATTATAGATTGTGATTAGTGCTTCTGATAGAAAGTAGGCAGGGGGCCGTGTGGAGATGATGGGAACGTATGAGAGAGGGGTAGTCCAGGAGGGCCTCTCCTAGGTGGCAGCACTGAAACTCGATCTATGGGATGAGAAGCAGCCACAGTCCTAGACAAGGTGCCTGAACCTTCTAGGCTGAGGGACCGGCAGGCTACGTGGGTGCAACCTGACCCCTGGGGGGAGGGACTCAGGAAGGCTGATTTGATGGGAGCCGAAAGCATGGGGCATGCGATCAGATGTGAAACTGCGCTCAGGGTCCAGTCACACACGGTCTTCACAGGCCATGGTGAAAAGTGGAAATATTTTGCCAAAGCATTTTTAACTAGGACTGACTGAATCTGATTTATAGCTCTCGCAAATTTTTCTGACTGTTGGCAGGTAATGGGTGGATGGTTAAGCGAGAGTGGGGGCAGGGAGACTGGTTAGGGGAGGCAGTAGTCCTGATGGCTGCTCCCAAGGGCTCCAGGATAGGAGTGCAGTGAAAAGGAAGGAGGCAGCAGACAGCCTGGGAATGTATTCTGGAGACAGAACTAACTGCGTGCACTTTCCTCTCAACCCTGAACACAAAGGTAACTGATAGCCAGCCTGGAACCTGATGATTGCTCAATAACTGTCCAAAAGCAGGTGGATGGGAGGTCAGCTGTTTACTTGCTCTGTCTCTGTTTTCATTATTCACAAAACATCATGAAAGACAAAGACTATTCCAACAAACCAAATATCAAGAAGCTTTTTAGTCACCAGAAAAAAAACTACGCCCCCTTTATTTTGCTGCCCTCACCAGCTCCCAGTTATGCCATGCCATTAGTAAGACATGCAAGTACTAATTTGGCAAAATGCTGTACTCAATCTGAGTGACATTAATGATAATTTATCAGGGGCTTACTACATGACAGGTGTTATGCTAAGAACTTCATGTATGCAATCTTCTCCAACCTTACAACTACCCTGTGAGATGGGATTATTTTTATTTTAGAGAAGACCTCTGAAAATCAGAGGTCTGAAGGTTTTGCCCAGGTCACCATATTAGTGATGAGTAGAGTCTACGTTTGAAATTAGGTCCGTTTCTTTCAAAGTACAGGCTTTTATTCTACGTGTGGTGCTGCTGTTTCTATTATTTCTATTTTTCTGAATTTCATACAACATTCCATGAACACCTAGATTCTCTCTCATTATTGAAATCAACCTTTCCTTTATGTTGAGTAAACAACTCCAATCTGCTTGGTATCTGGTAAGAAATAGGTCAGAATGCTTAGTGAACTGAGAAATGAAGGTAGTGTAGCTGTCCAAAAATAAATAAATAAATAAATAAAATCAGAGGCAAAGACAGAAATAGTAAAATATATTTGAGATGAGTGATATTGCCTACAGATGTAGCCTTGGAGGTGGTGATGTCATGAGGAGGACAGAGAGAAAAAGACTGTCCAGGTCCTGGCATGAGGTCCGTATGACGCACTCTGCTCCTCCTGATAGAGGGCCACATCATTATTTTTAAAAAAGCAGACTAGTTACCATTCCCTTTATTTAACCAAGGTGAGTACAGGAGACTAAAATGTGTGGGATGCATGCTGGGGACCACACGAGGAGCATTACAGATTCCTCGTGTAATTTCCCCACAGCCCTCCAAGGCCAGTATTGTTACCATCCACCGACTGCAGAAATGAAAGTGGGGATGGAGGAAGTCTCAGGAATGCACCTGTCATCCACAGGGAAATGGTGGGAGAGACTCCAAGCCAGGCCTGCCTTCATCCCAAGGCCACACTCTTCCTGCCACACCATGCCACACCTACTCTTGCATGCTCAGCCCGAGACACGCTAACAAACAGCAAACTCCTTTCCTGCTCCTTGGGACCTTGCAGACCACTCACATTCGATTTATAAGGGGAACAGGTTGTCCTTCACTTTGTTTTCATCTTTGTAATTATTATAGCACTTAGGGAGAGGAGAAGACCTTTCTTTTCTTACTAGAGCCATTTATTGTCCTGGATACTGCTTACCTGTCAGCGGGTTTTACAGAACCTACGGTGTTCTGCTGAAAAGATTTTATATAAAGGCAGTGTTCTTTCCCCATGAGAGAACTGCATCCTTTTAAGAGCTGAATTTTTTATTTTGATTGGTTCACTATTACAAAAGAAGTGCAACATTTTTCCTCTTCACATATTGCTTTTGAGATAGGTCTTTGTGTCTACGCAAGGGTTTTTATGATGTGACAAAATCTACATCAATGTATTTAATAATGTTCTCTTTAAGAGACTCAGCTCCTGAAAGATTATCTTATATACTTTTTACATCCATTTGGAATATTAGAAAATGTAAGTGATCTCAGGCACTTGAATTTGGCTTCTAAAACCAAGGCCCTTGACAGAGAGAGAACACAGATTTTTGGAAGTCCAAGTTCGGGACACCATCAGGGTCAGGTTCCCGCGAGAGCTGTCTTTCTGCTTGCAGATGGCTGCCCTCTCGCCTATGCCCTGTGGGGTTTCCTCAGCGCCTGCACGCACACACACACACACACAGAGCTCTCTCTCCCTCTTCTTACAAGGTCACCAATCCTACTGGATTAAGCCCTTACCCTGATGGCCCCATTTACACTTAGTTACCGCTTAAAAGCTCTCTCTTCAAACATGGTCATATTGGCAGAGAGGGCTTCACGGTAAGACTGTGGGGAGCAGTGGGGGAGGGGACACAATTCTGTCCCTAGCAGTCACGAGCAGCACTTCATGCTGTGGCCGCGTACAAGTTTTTGCCACAGTTTTTAGAAAACGACCATGAGGACATTCCCATAGTAAATATTTGGGTATATTTATGATCACTGTTAATATTGGAAAAGTTTACATTTTTTTTCTCTAGAAGGAAACAACTAAAAAGAAATAGCTCCTGCATTAACAACCTTGTTTCATCCCTGTCATCCTTGTTCTTGGAGGATTGTGTTATGCCCTGAATCAATCTGTTCAAATTAATAATCTGAATTTAGGGCCTACGTTTTCCAATTAGCCATAAGAAGGGGTTGGGGTGACCCAGGTTCCATTTTACCTCAGCTCACCTGCAGGCTTCAGCTGGAAACTCTCATCTTTAGGTTGACGCTATAGAAATTAACACAAATTGGGTAAGTAGTTGACTAATTGCTACCTATTTATTCTGTCAAAATTAGTGAATTTTAGTTTGTGTGTAATAATAAAAGGAATTTAAATGTTTGTTTCTTCACAAAGAACTTATATTTCTCTAGTCGTACAAGATGTTAATAATAGTGAAAATTGTTTGGGGATTCTTTTCATACACCTTCAGAAATTTCTCAAGAATTAAGGTCAGATGGAACCTTCCTTATTACTTTTGATATTCATTAGAATACTAAATAAGTTATTTTTCAAAGAAAATTATTACTTTATTTTTAAGAACAGTATCTGCTTGATAAATATTAAGATATTAATACTAGTAGAGGCCCATGAAGAATTTACAAAAAGGAAGGGACTGAACTTAGTTCTTTAGACATCACATTCCTCATATGTAGTTATTAAAGAATATAAAATGAAACAAAAAATGAATTTAAATTAGGTCAAAAGATGAAGATGACTATTAACTCATTATCCGTGAAATTACAAAGAATTACTTACAGAATATAACAGGACCCCCACTCCCAACATCTGTAAAAGGATACCCCTATCTTAGAACAGGGGAAATCCCCCTAGAATCCTGTAAATTTCCACAGTGCACTGGGGCTTCCCTTCTGGTATAAAGGTTGAGGTAGCAGAAAGCAAGAGTGATATCCATCATGTTAATACAAATATAATAAAGGACTATTTTTAGAAATAAAAACCACAGTTCTTTCTCCTCCTCTTTCTTCTCCTCAAGTCAGTTTACATCAGATTAATACTTTCTAATTTCTACTGAGATAATCCAGTTGGGTCAGTGATTGAGAGTGAAGAAATGCAGTAAGACCCTAGAAGAATCCACTGAAGTATGAAGCTTTGTTGTAATAAACTTTAAATATTTCCAAGCTAGTAACCAGCTTTGTTAATATAATGTCTTGAGATTTATCCTCTCACTCCCCAGATAATCCAATGAGAAAGCCTGATGGCTCTGGGGACCGAAGTGAGGCTGAGTGAGGGTAGGAAACATGAGAAGGGTAGTTCATGGAACGATAGGTCAGCACCCACAGAGGCCAAGTGGTTACAAACATGGGCTCATGAGTTAGGCTGTCTGGGTTCAAACTCTCTTGCCTTTGGCAATTTAGTTGACCTTTCTGTGAGTTTCCTTATTTGTAAAATAGAGCTAATAAAGACCACCTAGTGTAGTTGTTTGAGGATTACATTTTTTATATTTGTATTTATAAAATATTTAGAACAGTGCTTGGCATATGATAAGTGCTCCAAACGTGATAGGACAGTCGAAACCATGCTCTGGGCTTTGGGATAACTCCTTGGTTTGGAGTAGATAATCTTGGTGCTTTCTTGAACTAAGGAGAGAATTACTGAAATGCCTTTTTCCAGGTCAATGTATTTGGAAGTTCCCACACAGTACCTTGGGTGTCTGTATACACACAGATACCTACATTAGAAAAAAAAAAAAAAATCTTAAAAACCAACAGATATATGTCTATCTTTCCCATTAGCCATATATTTTTACCCTGACAATGCCTTTGGAGTTACTATCTAGAAAAATGATTTTATCTGATAATCAGACATCTGATATCTGATAATGATTTTATCCGATGACTTTATTCATTGTGTCATAAACTTTGAATCTAGATTATCCTTCAAGTGTGCGTCCAGCAAAATTATTTTTATTTCATAAAACCCATTGGAGAGTCTTAGCTTTAATTGTTCCATGAATCACTGGAGTCACAGGGATTTTTGCACATGAGGTGTCTTTGATCTCATTTTAGTTTAGTGTTTCCACATGTGTTTCTGAATAGTAAGGAGTTCCAGAGTGGTGTGTCCAAGTTCCCTAAGCATCCCTCAGAGGGCTTATAACTATTTAAATCCCAAGCCCACCTGAGAGTTAAAGTTGTGAATTAACCAAATCAATCAATATGGTGGTTTTCATGTTAGAGATCAAAGAAGATTAGGCAGAAATTGTCAAAAAGCAATTTCACCACTGACAAAGTTGATCACCTTCTGACTCCTCAGAGAAATGGGAAGTATCCATCACTCACATATAAGACCTCCTGACCGCTGATCTGGGATTGATTGATGGATGGATTGATGATTTTTAAATTGGGCTCAATCTGTAGGCTAACAGTTTTTCAGTTTTAGCCAGAATCTAAGGGAAAATGATATGGATAAAATTTTAAGAAGGGAAATTGAAAATAACCTATGCTTTAAAGGCTAGAAAGTATTTTTTTAAAATTAAGGTTGAAAATAACTTTTAAATCTTTCTGATCCCCCCCCCCCAAAAAAAATCTTTCTGATCCAAGTTTATTTTTTGTTCTTGGTTTGTCTCTCTCTCTCTCTTTTTTTTGAAGATTTATTTATGTATTTATTTATTTTAGAGAGCATGAGCGTGAGCGGGGGGAGGGGCAAAGGGAGAGGGGAAGCAGACTCCCCACTGAGAGGGGAGCCTTACATGGGGACTCGATCTCAAGACCCTGAGATCACCACCTGAGCCGAAACCAAGAGTTGGATGCTTAACCGACTGAGCCACTCAGGCGCGCCCCCTGGTTTGTGTCTCTTAAGCAAAAAATTGTATGACTATTTTTATAAATCGTGTATCAGGTAGCTTTGTTCAGCCCCTCAAATACTTTTTGAAGTAAGCAAGTCATAAATGAATAATTAACTATAATAATAACCATAAAACTATATATAATAAGAAACAAATTCTAACAATAATAAATGAATTAATGGTTTTCTTAAAAAGCTCTGGAATATATAGTCTTTACTCAACACTCAACATTCAGAAAAATGGCCACTTGCTGCCATTTGAGGAAGTGTTTTCAGGGCCTTCCTAGGGCCAGACTTCGCTCAACACACACTTTGTAAAGGTCATGTCACCATTTGCTGTGCTGGGCACAGAGGGTAATAGAGACAAGGGAGGCATGCTGTGCCCTGGAGCAGTGAGAACTGGTCTCTGATGAGCACAGCTGTTCCCATAACATTTATGAAACAAACTAACAGAGGTCTTGTTTGGGTATCTTTCTAGGTATAAGAAAAAACTTAAGATAAAAAAGAAAATACCACTGAACACCATGTGGACTGCCAACTGTATGGACAGAGTGGAGGATGCCAACATCTGTGCTGGGAGGTCCTTTATCCTGGGCTGGCCCACGGTGACCTTTGTGGCCACCTTCGGGTAAGACCGACCGTTTGGTCTTGTATTTACATGGGATAAAAAGAAAAACATTTTAATCTGACTATATGTCAAGCCAGTGACTCCCTTTTTGACTTCCCATAATGATACTCATTTGCCTTGTACTTCCCCCCAAAAGGTATGTACAAATGGGAGCAAGTAGATAACATAGAGTGGGAACTATTGGAGTAATTTCTTTTGGTTTTGATCAGTGGTTTTTCCCATGGGCTCTAGGAGCCACTTGAGGAATTGGGTGTTCTAGGCATATGGAAGGAGAATCAAGAGAGTGAGGTTCTAGAACCCCTCTCCAATATCCTGCCCCCTAATTCCCAGGGGGTATGTGTGTTTCTAAATCACTGGCATATTTTTCTTGAGCAAGTACTATTAAAGAGTCCAATTAAATTTGAAAAATTGCTCTTATACTCCCAAGGTCATTCCTTTAAAAATAGTATGGAATTATACAAATAAATTAATCATGTCATTGAATATGAGGTTGCCTGAATTGCTGTGTACTGATTATCTTAGTTGGTGTCTCTAGAGAGGTGACCATCTAAAACAAAAGTATGATTGCATTGAGTAGAGGTTAGTTGTGCAAGACACATTCTTAGGCTGACACGAGGATGGGGAATGTGACTCTCTACCCCGGACATCCTGAGCAGACACTCCTGAGTTTACAGGGGTGGTGCAACACTTACATCTGCTGTTTGAAACAACCACACCCCAAGTCTCATTCTTGTTTTGCACAATGAGTGTTCATCACATGCACTTAACACCCTTCTTTCTTCTCCTCACCCCACTCCACCAAAATGTCCCACATCATCACAAAGGGAAGACAACGAAAATGTTTACAAGTTGTTAATTTATTAAGCCCTATAATGCAGCGTTGACTTGAGAAATTTTCAAAGCTTATTGGGAAGAAATATGTATTTATATGCTCTCCGCATGTCTTCTTTTCCACGATGTATTTCTGTAAAGATTCTCAGTTCCTCTTGCTTCCTGTCTTCTCCATGTTGCAAATGGAAGGAAACAGTTTCAATTGGGAATGTATAAAGTCTTTGACAGGGGAGTTTCCAAGAGACTTTTTTTCCCTAACAAGGAGGAAAATGTGGAAGCCAGGCTTATACATGTTATATTAGTTAAAAAGCTGTGTAAACATATAGAAGGCATTTATAACAATTCCTGGCACCTAGTGCTTTTGCTATTTGTGATTATTACTGTTCTGCAGATCAGCATGGCTAACTAGAAGCTGTGTCCATGCGCATAGGCAGGCTGGGACGCTAAGTGGGCGTTCCATTTTCCAGATGGGACAAATCCTGAAACAGCGATGGAGGGGTTGGGGAGCAGTGTTGCTGGGAGGAGTATAAAATGTGGCAGCCACTGTGGACAGTTTGATGGTTCCTCAGTAAGTCAAACAGAATTACTATACGACCCAGCAATGCCACCCCCAGATAGATACCCAAGAGAAACATAGGTCCACACAAAAATTGATACACAAACGTTCATAGCAGCATTGTCGACAATAGCCAAAAAACAAACAAACAAAAGTAGAAACAACCCAAGTGTTTATCAACAAATACACAAAATATGGTACAGGAGCTAGAAACAGGAAGGAAGGAAGAGTGACTGCTTCGTGGACACAGGTTTGCTTTTGGGTGAAAAAATGTTCCAGAACTAAACAGTTACGGTAGTTGCACAAAACTGTGAATGTACTAAAGGTCACTAATGGTCAATTTTATTTTGTGTAGTTTACCACGGTAAAAAAACGCTAGTAAGTGGTAAGGCCATGTATGCATGAGGCTTAAAACATTCGCAACTTTGGGTATTAAATGCTGTGAAAACTTTAGTTGAGAAAAGACTAACCTTTAGTAGTTTAGCACTAGCTGGATTGATCTTGCTCAGAGGATCACAGTAACGAAGAATGTTTTCTAGAAACTAATTTAACACATTCCAATCTGCTATGTGTATAAAGAAATGAAAATATTACAGGTGTTTCTTCCTAAAAAGCTATTCTTGTTTCTGGGCCAAGATAGTTCCATCCAAATGCCAAATTCCTTAAGTATGATTTAATTTGAATAATAATGTTCTTTATATCTGAATAGCACTTGCAGCTGCAGGAACACTCGGGGTATAATTAACCCTTTTCCAGTTCTGGAAACTGAAGATCAGCGCAGTTAAGCAAAGTGCCCATGATCACATAGCTTGCATCACATAGTTACAATTAAGTGTTCAGATTCAAAACCAACTTTTCTCCCACTTTAGGATCTACTTCCCATTGCTTTAATACGCTCATAAAAGAGTGGGGTCCCTCCAAAGTGCAACTATGAGGACAGTATGATATTAACACATGCATCCACATCCTTAACTGGCTGCTGCTATTTTTTTCTGGAATGGTGATCTTATTTTGCTAGTATAAGTATTGTATGTATCTTAATTTTTTCTTCCCATTTTTTTTAAATTGCAGTTCTTCGGAACAAAAGGAAAAATGGCATTCTTTCCTTCAAAGGTATCTTGTCACTATACATATTATACATCTTTAACCCATGAGAAAAGAATAAATCTCTTCAAAGCAGTGCCCCCACACACTATGCTTCCCCTACTTAGTAGAAATTGTTAGACTATCCTCAAATAATTTCTTATTTAGATGTACCCTGGCTGCTACTGCAAATAATCTGCTCTTATTTACATGCACATATTGCTTATTTTTGATGAAATTCTGGTTATCACTCTCATCTTCCCCTTCTCTCAGACCTAATGATTGGAGCTAACATTATTCTCAAAAGATACATATTAAATTTTCTTAAGTGCAATTTACTCTCCTGAGTGATGCTCAAAGCACCTTCTCATTCCTACCCTTGAAGGTGCTGGGCCCTCCAGTCTAGGCAGGAAAGCTTTGATGACTGGATCTGCTACTCACATCTTACATGACAAGAGCAACCTGTTGTTTTCTGAGTCATGTCTTATTTTCCTGAAATAGTTTTGCATGTTTTCTTCCAACCCATAATTTGATGTTGCTGAGTTTATTTACATGCATTTAAAAATAACAGAGTATGTTGAAAATTTTAGCCACATAGATCAATTTGAAAGTAAGCTAATAGCTAATTCATCCTACTCTATTTGGGGTTCTTATTGAATTTGATTAGGTACATCAATCTGGCCAAAGAGAAGGACCAGCCCAAAAGCATTCCTCTCAGAATCTTCACTGAGGACATCAAGAACTGTGCCTGTGTAAGTGTTTTTAAGACCAAAAATTAAATTCCATGTTCCTGATTCAGATAGAATGAAAGAGATGGAGATGGAGATGGAGATAGAGAGAGGGAGGGAGGGAGAGATGGGGAGGTAGGAAGGAGAGAGCAAGAGATAAGAAGAGAGAGAGTATTTCGAAAAGTACCATGTGGGAAAATGTATTTTCCTGTCTACACGTGTCTTTGTATACATAAAGAGTGAATCCTAGGTAATATGAAGCGAGAGGAATCCATGCCACAGTACTTAAGCATGGAAAGAATATTGCATGTTAAATATCCATAATATTTCCCTGGCTCTTTCTAATAGCAACAACACTGGCTTGTAATAAGGTGATTTTCACATGCAGGTATTTCCTACTAGAAGTAAACATTTTTTCCCAATGGTTACTACTTATGTACAGAATGGTTTGGATTGTTTCCACAGTTCTCCACCCTCCCCCCATTGACGCTTTATTTGGTATAACTGTAAACTCACAGAAAAGTTGTAGGTATAAAAATAAAACAAAAAACACCCCATGCACCCTTTACCTAGATTCAGCTATTAGTAACATTTTACTCCACTTGCTTTATCATTTATTTTCTTTCTCTGTCCCTATTATGTGTATGTTATACTTATTTTTGAGGGTCATACAAATGCCATGGCCCTTTATCCTTAAACCTAGGTATTTCCCAGGAATAAAGATATCCTCTTATATCACCATCACACAGTTATCACCTTTAGTAAATTTAACATCGGTGTAATACTTTACTCTGCCTTCCATGTTCCCGTTTTGTCAGTTGACCTCAATAATGTCTCCTTTCCAGTACAGGATCTACTCAAGGGTCAGGTATTTCACTTAGTAGTTATATCAACTGCAGAGGGGTTTTGAAAGGTCTTTTGATCCAAGGAATATCAGGGTTGAATTGAGCTCAGAGGGATGACACTTTTAAGGGATCAGCATATTTCTATCTCATTTTCTTTTGGCTGTTGGGGGAAAAAAAATCAAACCAGTTGCCCATTCTTGGTATAAAATTTGATTTCTGAAATTGTAGTGCAGTAGCCAAGACATTTGCAATGATGAACAAGATACTTTGGGTATCTTTAAGTGACATTTTTTTTTTCCTGTTATACTTTACAGTAGCTCTAGGTCACACAAAATAGTATTTGAAGGTGGAAAAAGTGGTAGTTATTCCTGGCCAAAGCAAAAGCCATGCAAATATTTTGATTGGTTTCTAAGCACCAGGTAGATGCATTGCATGAAGGAGATAAGGCCAGAGGGTTCTCTAGCAGCAGAGCACACTCTTGTCTCTGCCTGCTTTGATTTCAGCTGTGGCAGTGGGTTACACTCAGAATTTTCCATGGAAAATTACCTTGAAATCTTTAAAAATCAACTTTATTTATGTATAATTTACACAAAATAAGCATTTCTAATGTTCTTCACTTGTTCCTGAACATCCAAGTTTCCCTCTAACACTGTTTTCATTTCATCCTAGAGAGATGATCCTTAGCATTTCTTGTGCAGACCTGGTGCAAACAGATTTTCTTAATTTCTCTTATCTGAATATGGCTTTATTTCACACTCACTCTTCAAGGATATTTTGAGGGATGTAGAATTTTGTTCGCAAACTTTTTCCTTTCAGCTCTTTAAAGATGTTCCACTGTCTTTTTGTCTTTGTGCTTTCTGATGAGTAGTCTGTGATCAATCAAACATTAATCCCCTGTAGGTGATTTGTCATTTTTCTCTAGCTGCTTTCAAGAGTTTCTCTTTATTTTTGGTTTTTAGCAGTGTGGCTATGAAGTATCAAAGCATGGTTTTCTTTGAATCTGTCCTATTTGGCATATTCTGAACTTCTTGAATTTATAAATTTAATTTCACCAAATTTGGGAAATTTTAATCATGATTACCTCAAATATTTTTTTCCCCATTTTCTCTCTCCTCTCCTCCTGAGAGTCCAGTTATATGTATATTAGACCCTTTCATATTGTTCATAGATCCCTCAGACTCTTAATTTTTTCAATCTTTTTTTCCCCTTTTCTTCTTCAGACAGGATAATTTCTATTATCTATTTTCAAATCACTGACTTCTTTTTGTCATCTCCATTATGCAATGTAGCCTAGTCAGTAAATTTTTTCTTTAAGATATTTTTCAGATAAAAAATTTCTGTTTTTAAATATTTTTAGTTTCTATGCTAAGATGCCTCTTTCGTTTATTGTGAGCATATTTTCATTTGTATCATTGAGCATTATTGTAATAGCTGTTTTTGGCTAACAGTCTGAACATCTAGATCATCTATCTCAGGGTTGGCTTCAGCTCTTGAGAATTGATCACATATTCCTTGTTCTTCCTATATTAAGTAACACTTTGACTCATATAAAAAAAAAGTAACATTTCTTTTTCTTTTAAATTATTTCAAAAAGCAGCTTATTTTTCTGAAGTCATTTGTTTACAGAGAGCTCTATCTACTGGAATTTATCTGTTTTGGAGAACCTACAACATGCAGGAAAATATACATACATCTCTGGAATTACTATTTTGAACATAGTATGTTCCTTATACCATGAAAACCATTATCTTGCAGACCAGATAAATTAAAAAGTGATTATTAGTATTTCAAAAGAGATTTTTTTTTCTTTAAAAAGATTTCATGGGAGGGATGCCTGGGTGGCTCAGTCAGTTATGCATCTGCCTTCGACTCAGGTTATGATCCCAGGGTCCTGGGATGGAGTCTTGCATCAGGCTCCCTGCTCAGAGGGGAGCCTGCTTCTCCCTCTGCCTTCTCTGCCTGTGGCTCCCCCTGCTTGTGCTCTCTCTCTGACAAATAAATAAACAAAAATCTTAAAAAAAAAAAAAATTTTGTGGGAAACTTTTTAAGTTGTACTGAAAGGCTTTCAGACATCTTAAAAAAAATAGCAGAGCCATTACTTCTAACTAAATTTCAAGCTAAGACCCAGTCTTGAATCCTCTAGACAATTTAACATAGGAAGCCCCTCCTAGACAATTTAACATAGGATATCCTTGAGTTTGGGTGCTCTGAGTCCTACTGCTAGGTTCTGAACACTTTTTTTTATAATCCTTAAAGCTCAAGTAGTTTGAAATCAATGAACACTTTTGTTTATAAAAGTTCGATTATCAAACAACTTTTGGGCCATCTGTCATATCAAGCAATTGCATTTCAATTCATAAGAAGAAAAATACAATGAAAGAACAAGTTTCTTTTAACTTTGTTTTTAATATTTTTAAGGACTGTGAGTGTCCACTTCTGTTGCTTGTCTTCTTCATGCACTGTTTCTCAAAGAACACAGGCCTCATTGCCTAATAATGTTATAAAAAGTGTATGCGTGGTTGGTTACATATTGTCCTATTTTAAAATGTCTTTTGGAATTCGGGTACTTTTATCGATATCATCTCAGATTCCTATCCATCCCTTTCAGATAATTTTCAATAACTGTTTTCCTTGTTGTATGGAGCAGTTTCTCAATATAAGGTGTGATAGAGAGATATTATAAGTAACTACTCACTGTCAGAGTTGTGAATGGAATATAAACTTCTAAAATTTACAGTCTCATTTCCTAGACTCATTGGTTTTATTTGTCTCAACAGATTTCAACAATGGAAATCTTAGTAACCATGATGACACAAAGAAAGTATTGACTAAATAGTAGTTTTGTTTTTTTTTTTAAATGTCTGTCACAGACGGTTCTTATTCTGATTTTGCTGAAACTGAGTATGTAATTGCGAAGAGAGAAAAGTATCTAGCTCCTCCTTTTTAAACTATCTCCCCTCTCTATTTTGGGAATAGCCTTATGGAGCTGAGGGTCAGTTCATGTCCCCTCGTGGAATTCTGTTTTTCTCTTTCTTGCTTAAGCTGCTATATTTTGTAAGCCACAAATCCTTGAAGGGAAATATATGTTTCACTGAAATGTTTCCTACTAGCTTCATGTTATGTAAAGAAATGAAAATATTGTAATCAAGGGTGTGTGCTCTACATATGCTTTACTTTGTCATTAACTGAAAACAAGCTTTGCCTTTAGAGTATGGATAATAATTTGACAATAATTATTTGGTCACCTGCTTTAAATTTTTAAAAATTTATAGCAATTTTTCTCATTTCTTTTTTACAGTCTGTAACAGTAACAAATTCAGACACAGTGAATGACATTATCAACATGTCACTACCAATGCTAGGAATAACTGTAAGTTCCCTTGCAAACTATTTTTAATTTAAAAACCATCTTTGACTTTTGAGATTTGTGTGTGTGTGTGTGTGTGTGTGTTGTGTACCTCCCGTTATAAGACAGCTGATTATTATACATATCATAGTCATATTTTGTCCCCCAGATTTAGAAATTGAAGGCAGCAAAGCTATATTATTAGCCTATACATGGGTGCTCTTCTTGTCTTCCCATTTTAAATTTTCTGCGAATTCAAAATCATAGCATAAAATTGGGCTATAATTTTAGAGTGCTAATAACAACATGCAGTTTATTGTATATATTTTATACACAGACAATAAAATATTTCTAAGTTTCTAAATATTTCCTCCTCTATTGGACTCTTCTGTCTGTGTCTTCATTCCTGATTCCTCCCCATCCCTGTTTACCCTGGTCATCACCCAAGGACTCAATCCCAGTTAGATGAATCCTAAATTATATGTTTTGTTGTACATTTTGACATAAAGACCACATGGCTAGAAGCTACCTCCTCTTGATGCAGTTCCTTGGGATGAGGCGGCTCACACCCCTTAAGAACTGGTAAAGAGGACAAGTTCTGAATAAGACCATGATCTGGGGGCAGTTTCGTACATATCACTTTCATCTTGTTTTGGTTTTAACGGCCTGTTCCTTTATGTTTTGATGGTGCTGGTGTGAGTTGCTGGATTTTTTTTTTTTTTTTTTTTTTTTTTGATGAAAGACATGGACATATTTGAGGATGAGGTTTTCTAAGGGAAAAGAGAGGGAGAGTGATAGTCAGATGGACAGAACTGAAGGGAGCACTTGTAAAGCACAGCTTCTTATATAAAATCCTCTATAAATGCAAAAATGTCTTGCTATTATGACATGACATAATTACAAGATTCTTACTTAAATTCTGTCTGACCCAATGGTATAATAAAGCCCCTTAAAAATTCAGGGCAACTGGAATTTAGCATAAGAAATCAATGATTTCTGTACAAACAAAATTTAATAATATATCTGAAATAAAATTGAATTTATATGTACTGAGTAAAGCACATATCTACATTGATTTCTAACCTGTATGATATATATACCCTAAATAGGAATTAAGTCTTAGAAAGAGAGTGAGTGGTTTTAGGGATGAAGTTGAGGAGATTGATTAATGATGAAGCTCATTTTATTTCATGTTTGTGATTTTCCTTTGCATAAAGTGATCAATCTCACCACACAAAGAATTTCTGTTTTAATGAAGAATTGGGGTTATTTGGCTTTATGTATGCCTGATTTAAGGGATTCCAGCATAGCATTTCCAAACCCTACCCTACCTTACTAGCTCTCACGAGTTATTTGCAATACAATTTTGAGCAGATTTAGCTATGTGTGTGTGTCTGTGTGTCTGCGTGTGTCTGTGTGTGTGTCTGTGTCCATACCTATGACCTTTCTTCATAAGGGCAAGACCATGATTCTTAATCAGGAGTCCAGGTCAAGCATAGTACCTATCACCAACAACTCCATGTCAAACATTTTTTGCTTTAGTCTCCTGGAAGACTCTCTAAAATAGTTCAGCGATCTTTATAATTTAGATGTGTTTGTTTCAAGTAGGACTTCCAGGTTTACTGGGCGGTAATTCTGCTGGGAGTAATTGTTTTCTGCATCTGATATGTTGTCTAGGTTAGAGTCCTTGTTCTTTCTCTCCCTGAAGTGGGGCTTGCCTGCACCAAAGCCAGTGGCTGACTTCAGTCCACTATCTCCTCAAGGCCTCTTGGGCGTTTGTCTCCTTTTGCCCAGGGCTGCTGAACTATTGATGCCTTTCAAGTTACTTTGCTCAGGAATAGTCATAGCAGGGTATATGGCTCTCTGGACAATATGCATGTCAGGGCAGGGACATTTGGCAGCAAAAGCCAGCATTATCCAAGGAATCTAGAGACAGCGGAAGGCAGGACTCTGAGATTAGAAGTTTCCTCCTTAGCGAAGGGGCACAACTGTGATTTCTTAGGCCATGGGCCACCCACACCGTGAGGGGCTGATTGTACTGTGGTTTCCTGGCCTTTATCAAAAATGACAAGAACCTGGGACGGTCCACTGGAGGCTATGAGGGAACAAGTTAACAAGTACTGTAGCTACCTCCATGGACCAAATGGCATTTATACTGGCCCCAATTCTTTCTTTCTGGAAACAGAGAAATGCAAAGGAAATGTGTTCTTCAAGTACTGTGAAAGATTTGTTATGATGCATAGTTCTTTTTGTTTCCAAGGGCTCTGAGAAAGACTACCAGCTGTGGGTGAGTGCTGGCAAGGAAGCGTCCCCACACCCACTCACTGGTAAGTGTCAGGGAAAATCTAAGATGGGATTGATTAGGTTCAAAATTGTAACTCTACATCTCAAAGTAATGGTTGTTCTGTCTTCAGCTTAAATACCCTTAAAAGTGAAAATCACATGCAATATTCACTCTCACGTTTATTAAAGAATTACCAGGTGCTTACTTGTTCCCAGGCACTGAGGACATCTCTTCATTCATCAGCTTAAGGTCTAGTTAGGGAGAGAAATGTAAATTTTTCGTTTCTACTTCATTTTACCTGACAAACAGAGCTGTCTTAAAAATTTTTTTGTTTATTGTTTACTTACTTATTTACTCACTTAGGTATGAAAGCAAAGAATTGGAATTTCTTTTTCCCATACATTTATTTTTCATATTCCAGTCTTGAATTCCAGTTCCTAACAACTAAATAGCCTCTATTTTGTGAGAATCCGCTAAAATCCAATCATGTCTCTGAATCCAGGTATAGGTATGTATTTAACACCTGCTCTGTGCCCAGAAGTTTTCTCAGCATCATAAAGAGAATGAGATAATCACATTTAAACTCCTCAAGTCTTCACTGACTAAACTACCTGCACTTTGTTGTTTCTCAGGCTTTTTCCATCACTGTTCTTAAGGTTATTGATAAACAGATTACACCTCTCCTAAAATAGTTATTAGCACAAGTTCTCTAAAAAAAAATCTTTGGATTAGCAAAATTGTTCAGTGCTTACCAAAAATAGAAGGATTAAAAAACCAGAGAAAAAAGAGAGGATCTGTAGCAGACCTTGAAGTATAGTAATGTATGGTAATGGTGACAATGATTTCTGCTAGAAATCTTAGAGCATTCCTTCTTACATGCATTTTTCAAAATCTTTTTAATAATCCTGTGAGGCGGGATGCCTGGGTGGCTCAGTTAAGTGTCTGCCTTTGGCTCAGGTCATGATCCCAGGGTCCTGGGCTCCTTGCTCAGTGGGGAGCTGCTTCTCCCTTGGCCTGCCGCTCCCCCTGCTTGTGCTCTCTCTCTCTCTCTGACAAATAAATAAATAAAATCTTAAAAAGAAAATAATCCCGTGAGGCTATTACTCTTTTTCAAGTTATCTAAAGAATATTTTCAAGTGATCTAGAAATCTAAATAACCAATTTCTTTCTACGAAATGTATATTCCCAGTCTTAGAATACAGAGAGTCACCAAGGGCATAGCTGAGGAAAAAAATCCCCCCCACCATTTCATGTTTCATATTAATATTGACATCTCTGTAAAAGTCGGCCAACCACAAAAAGGAAAAAAGTCAAATACTTAAATATATTTATTTTAATAAAGTGCATTAATTTAGGTAAAACAATAGAGATGATAACTTTTTAGACTTTGAGCAGCTTCACACACCAAGGCAGCTCTAAGGAATCCAGAGAGCCTGTCATTCATGATGATCCATTGGCAGCATTCAAAATGCATTTTTTACCAATGCTCTCAATTCTCAATTGCGGATTATCTCCTGGTTATCTTTGTGATTTGGTTGTATTGCTGTCGTAGAAGCTTCTTTTTCCTTAAAAGAGGGAAGTCACTGTGATTCTTGTGAACACATCACTGACACTGCATCTATGACAGATGAGAAGGAACAGCAAAAGCTCCCCAAGTTACATTCAATAATAAATCAGAAACGACAGAAAGAGAACTTCCATTCTGTTCTTAAAAAATGAGATCCATATCCTATAGCACAGGGTCTTTGAGAATTCTATAGAGAGGAAACAATTTAAAGCATACAAGAACAAAACAAATCACTTGGCAGGCAACTCTCACTGACTCTGGGTGCAGTTTTCCACTCTGTAAACATCGTTTTGCACTTTGCTTCTGGGTTCCCAACACTGTGCAGCCTTCCCTCTGATCATCACCTGGCAGGACTCCCCTTGGAGGAAGGGCAGCAGTGGGAGGGAAGTATAAAGCATAAAGGCAACCCATCCCACTGCCCTTGAGTAGCTCTGCCTCTAGAAATTGACAAAAGGAAATGAAAAAAAAATCTGCTCAACTGACATTATGTGAGAGAGAATAGCAATTCTTAATATATATGTTCAATTATTTAAAAAATATTACCCACCAATGCATATTAATATATTTACTCTGATCCTTATAAGTTTGTGTGAGGGCAAGCATTTCAAAGGATGAATGTAAGGCTCAGAGGGGTCAAGTAATTTGCCTAAGATGTGCAGATCTCGTTAGTGTCAAGGCAGAAACTAGAAGGCCTTAAATATTCTCAGATGGAAACACAGCAAAAGTCAGCATTGTGCAATGCACTGATGAATCTTTGTATTCCAAGTAAAGTAACATGCTTTAAATTTTTTTTCTCTTTTTAAAATCTTTTCCTTGGGCACCTGCTTTCTGCAGGGTGTCTCCAACAAGAGCGAATATGATGCTCACTCAGGAGGCACAGAGTGAGTGCCAGAAGCCCCAGGAGAATAGCAGCATATACCAGTGTGATGCATACACTCATGGGAAGGGGGATTTGATCAGAGCCATCACCATCAGCCTGAATCTATATTTTTTCCATATAGGACATAAACATCCCTATGGAATTAAAATGAGCCATCTTCCATCTACCACACTGCTGCCGCAGACACCAGAGGACTCCATCTCTCCTTCCACCCTCCAGGAGTCCCTCCTTCTGGAGCAGGGGTTCGCAGAGATGCAAGGCCGGTTCATCCTGAAGCCCAGGCACCCGGCGCAGAATGAGCAAGGGAGAGGTGAGCCCCTTCCCTTTCTTCAGGTGTCTTCTCTTGGCTCATGTCTCCACTCTTGCCCACAAATTGAGGACACAGAGCTCACTCTCTCTGTGGGGGGTGGGGAGGAACAGTAGAGGCAAGAACCCCAAAACTGCACAGAATCGAGCTTAGAGAAACCCAAAGGTCTTAGGACCCAACTCACTTCGAGGAAGGTTGTGTGCTTGTTTTAATTCTCCTAGGTAGACTGTTAGCTCCTTTCTCTGTATCCCCAGAACACTTTCTACATATAATTATGTGAGTACACATCTGTGTGTCTTCTTAGAGCACAAGCTGTTTGTGGCCTGGAAACAGGTCTTCCCTATTCCAGGGTTTTATCTAGTATCTCAGGCCATCACAGGATGGAATCAAATGACTGCATGGCTTAGACGCACCTGGAATGGAAGAACTCCAGTGGAGTAAAGAGTTATGGAACTGAATTGGATTTATTCTGGGCTTAGGCTGAAGTGGCCTTGGGCTTACAGTTAGAATTCAAGTCTCAATTCTGCCCCCACTTTCCATGTCTGCTTCAGACACAGGTCAAGGCTGGAGCTAGACTGAATGTTTATGGTCAGGGCTTTTTCATCTTCCTTCTTGCTATTTTTTTCCCTACCATTCCAGTATTCTCCCATTGATATTTTTTTCTCTGATGAAAATGTGTTATTCATCTGAGAAGTATTGGGCCAAAATAGAAAGTATTTTATTGTTATGATTGTTATTCTATAAGCACAAAGTTTCAAAAATTTTATTTTTTAATATTCATACCCTAATTCAAGCATTAGGAAACATTAACCCAAATCTTGCCAGGACTGTTTAAGAAAGAATAGGTTTCCATAAAGTTAGCTTGTTTAATCATTCCTATATTTTTCATGGCTATAGCATATATTTTTATTAGTAATAGAGGCAACATGACCTCTAACAGCAAATAATGTACATTATGAAACATCCAGCTAAGCCTGAAAATACCTTGGAGAAAGTATAGGACTCAATGTGTACTTATTTTCTGTATACTCAAAGAGTAGCTAGATATATAGCTTTGTACCAAGGGATACAACATTCTTCTTAAGAGCATTCTTCTTATTAAAGCTGAAGAATGGAATATATTTGGGTAGTTTTAGAAATAATAAAACTAGGGGAAGAGTAGGGAACCCAGGTTGCATACAACAACTCAACTTACATATTAACACGTATCTTCAGCAAATGCATACATTTTGATGTACAGGAATCTCCTCCTGGATTTAAGAATGTGTTTGCTTTCTTTCTTCTCTCCTTTTAAAATGGTAGCGGTATCAATTTCAGAGCAGGAAGAAAGAGCCTTAGTTAAATAAAGTGGTAGCCATCCTTCATGATTGCCTACCTTCTAGAGGTTGCAAAATCAAATAGAGAATGGGAGTGATGTCTGCTTTGGAGGGGGAAGAGACTGATGTCTAGACTGCCTGAGGCCTTCTGAGCAAGGAAATTACTTTTATCAAGGCTGCCACGAGCCATGCCTTGTGCTGAGTAGTACATTACATTTAGTTCAACGAGTTGTAGGCAGCAGCATTTATGTTAAAGTGAAGCAAACCAAAGCTTAAGAATTTTTGAGTAATCTAACTAGGTGGCAGAACCAGGATGCTTCTGGTTCTTAGATCCTGGTCTCTCTGGTCAAGTGCCATGAGTGTTGCCACCCACGTGAGTGGATATGGTGATGCACTCACTACATCCCAGAAAAGCCCAGTGGACAGGTGTTTATGGGTGTTTGGTGAAATGTTGCTCATTTGTTTATCCTTCTACAGCTTGGCTCCTCTGTGGACTTTTAAAGAATTCAGTTATTTAAGCAGATTTTGGAAGCAAATGTTAAGGTATCTTATAAGGAAAACATTCATAGCTGAGCAGTAGAAACTTTCAACTCAGCTTTTCACTGCAGATCACCTTTTCTTTGTAAAGCTCTTCTTCTGCATTCCTTTGATAGGGAATGTTGGGTAATTCAAAATCATCTCTGGAAATTGGGGGTAAATCAGGCATTCATAATCTCTCATTGTTTTTCTTTTTGTATGTTTTCTTTCAAGCCTTGTACTGGTATGGTGTATATACATGTATGTTTGAGTATGTGTGAGGAATTGGGTGCAATTCATTGTGGATTAGACTCTTTTCCGTAAATATCAAACATAATTTACAAAAAAAAAAGTCATCTCTGGGTAGCTTGGTGGGGTATCACAAGAAAACACAGTCACCTGGAATCTTACCACATAGCCAGCATGTAATGACTATTTCCCAAGAACCCTGACTGCAGGGAGTCATCCTTGGGGATGGCCCAGAGCAGAGACACCAGAGGCTGCCTGAGAAGTGGGGTCAGGCGGATCATGTCATGAAAGGCAGATCCTTTTGATCATAGAAAGATGAGCACTCAGGGGCACCTGGGTGGCTCAGTCGTTAAGCGTCTGCCTTCAGCTCAGGTCATGATCCCAGGGTCCTGGGATCTAGCCCTGCATCGGGCTCTCTGCTCAGTGGGAGTCTGCTTCTCCCTCTCCCAATCCCCCCCTGCTTGTGTTCCCTCTCTCGTTGTCTCTCTCTGCCAAATAAATAAATAAAATCTTAAAAAAAAAAAAAAAAAGTTGAGCACTCAGAAAGCCAAAGAGGAAACTTAAGACTGGAAGGAGACTCACTGTGAAAGCAGATGATTAACAAACTCAGCTTGATTTGAATACCAGATCTTTTGAGCTTTTAAAATCAGATCTGACACTGGATGAATCCACTAATCATACTTACCAATAGGAAACAAACAACAAGTTAAGTGCCTCATGATAAAGCACAACGGGCAGTAGATGGGATTGAAAGCATTGACACTAAGTCTGATCAAGTCTCTAGGTTTAACCATCAGTTTGCAGGATCTGGGGAACAACTGTTAACACCATAAGAATGCTATTGGCCAATTTCAAAACATGGAAAATTCTACACAAAAAATGCCTCAGTTTCCCTCTTCTAGCCATTGCAGTGAATGTACCGTAGAATGGGAATGGTGAAAATAAGGTTAAGCGGGATGGCTGGGTGGCTCACTTGTTAAGCGTCTCCCTTGGGCTCAGGTCATGATCCCTGTGTCCTGGGATTGAGCCCTGCATTAGGCTCCATGCTGGGTGGGAAGCCTACTTTTCCCTCTCCCGCTCCCCCTGCTTGTGTTCCATCTCTCACTGGCTCTCTATCAAAAAATAAATAAAATCTTTAGAAAAAAAAAGAAAAGAAGGTTAAGCGAATAAAACAACAACTACTACTACTAATCTCACTTCTTCCTTAGATTACAGGCAGAAGACAGTTAAAAGCGGTTTTTTCAGAGACTGGGCCTGTTGTCTGGGCTCCAGCACTAGCCAGGACAGCCAGTGCACAACCCCACCTTCTTCAAAGCCAGGACAGCTCTTTGGAGTTTCCCTCATGGATGTGTGTAATAAAGACAACTTGCCCTTCCCAATCCTGGTAGGTCATCTCCTTTTGGTCTTCTATAGCCCTTCTGAGGAGGGGACACTCTGAGAGGCCACGTGTCCTCATCCAAATCTATTCCCAAATGGAGAAGTCATTAGACAGCCCCTGGCTTTGGCTGAGAAGCTCTGTTACTGTTATTTCAAAGAATAGAATCTGATTTAGGTCCTGCAGAGTCATGAGGCAAATACAACAGGAAAAGACATTCTCCATTCCACTTGGGTCTTGTTTCCACAAAGACAGGCGGAGGCTTGTTCAGATCAGTCAAAATGGACTCTGTGTATGTGAGTCTCTGAGAGTCCACCTCATCTTCACACTCTCCTCTCATTGTCTTCCTGAACTCACATGAGTCTCAAGTCTCCTTCAGCAGAGTCTACTCAGTCTAACAACTGTAAACATCTGACACGAGCATAGACTCATCCTCTGGCAAATAGGAAACTATCAATCCTAACAGAATATGTCAAATGAAAGCCACAGAGTTTGGCCTGTGTTATCTCAAACTGCTCTAGTGAATTGTCAGTGTGGACATTCACTGAGTATTCGGTGTCTCTGCAAGCATTGTACGGGATGTAGGGAACGTTCTGCTAGCTATGAAGAAATGAATCATCTTAGCTAGCATGTTACCTGCTAGCTACTACCCCAGGTCCTTGCATCACAGCAAATTTAGAGGATAGCTAGGATTATCATCCTCCACACTTCTTAAACGAATCGGAAAAGCCTCAGTACAGTATGTATGTGCCCCAGCTCACACAATAGATAAGTAGCATAATAGACTTCAGATCCATTTTATTCCCTGAGTCCAGCCCCTATTAAGATTCTACACAGCAGGGAGAGGACATGAAGATACAGCAAAAGACAATGAAAGACTCATGAGAAGGGAGGGTAATCAGAGAAAGAGAAGAGAGTTTCTGAGCCTGACTTTAAAAGAGGGAAAGAAATAGAACAAGTAGGAATGGAGTATACACTCACTTAAAGAGAAATAAACAAATGGGAAATGTGTATTTCCTAAATAGACTTCCATACTTGGGGGAGAGCATCTATGTAAGGGAATAATGAGAAAAGAATGGTAAAGTAGGAAACAGACGGTGATTGTGCAAAGGCCTTGAAGCAGAGAAGTTGATTTAAGAGTGGAAACTCAATGGAAAGGAAAATCTGCTTAAAAGAAGTGTTTAAAATGTTTCAGTGTATGACTGTAAAATGGATATATGGGTAGAAAGTATATAGAGAGACACTGAAAAAAAAAACAATCTAAATTGACTTTAGTCCTTTCAGCTCAAAAGCAGTGTACCATTGCATTCCCCTCCTCTTTCAAAACGGAGGCAAGCTTGAGCTCTGCGTTTGGGGTATGAGATGCGATATAATTTTCTTTTCTTCCTACAGGATATGCTTTCCTTTATTAATCAAAAAGGGTCACTCACAGAATGCATCTTCAGCAAATCACCCAATATAAAATCAACCAGGGTCCTAAAGGAGAAACTAAATTCTGGGGTCAAAGTGGACCTGTACAGCGAATCTGTTCATGTGGTCGCATCCGTCTTAAAGGTAGGGAAGGTTCTAGCATTATCCACACACGAGTAACTGAAGCTATGATTGGTGTCTTTCATCATGACTGCTCAAGAACCATAATGGGCATAATAGATTAAGAACCTGACAAGCTGAAAAACGCTTGACAAAATCAAAATTTAAGGAAGCTACTTTAGGAGTTAAAAGCCCCATATGTTAGAAATTCTTTCTGTTTTCACCACACACCGCCTACCCTGCCTTCACTCCTGAAGTCGCCATGCAAAATACTAATACTGAAATGACTACTAGTCATGATAATAAATTTCAAAATACGCACTGACACATACACACTGTTTACCCATGCAAACATTCTCACCACCCTCCTAGTGAAGGCAAAGTTTCCAAAAGAAATAGAACAGGGAAAGAATTTAATCCATCCACCTTGGCACTTATGAACAGCTCTGAACAACCCTATGTTAACGTAGTAATGACTACAGTCTTAGAATCTCAGTCACATTTGGTTTTCCCTTGTCCCCCATTAATGTTTGAAGATGTGATCAATAGCAAAGTCCAGAAATGACTTAGGTAACCACTCCTACACTGGGGCTCTAGTGATATCCAGTAGTAATATACATATAGAAGAATGCTGATACATTACGTAGCAAGATGAGTGTTGCCCTCTGTAAGGTGAGCACATGGAATCGATTTTCTAGCAAGAGTTAGGAGGTTCCGGGCGCCTGGGTGGCTCAGTTGGTTAAGCGACTGCCTTCGGCTCAGGTCATGATCCGGGAGTCCTGGGATCGAGTCCCACATCGGGCTCCCGGCTCAGCAGGGAGCCTGATTCTCCCTCTGACCCTATCCCATCTCATGCTGTTTCTCTCTCTCTCTCTCTCTTAAATAAATAAATAAATAAAATCTTTAAAAAAAAATCATTAAAAAAAAAAAAGAGTTAGGAGGTTCCTTCCTGATTCGGTGTTATAAGCACCGACTAGGAAGAAGGTATGCACATGTGGGTATAGTGCTTAGACATTTCTAAAGTTTTCTCTTCCTGAAGTTGATGGATCTTGGTGGAGAAACAGACTCTGCAACTTTGGCCTTGATAATATCATGTCAAAAAACTGGGAATGGACCTAATCTAGAAATGAATCTATCCTCAGGACCTCAGTGAGTCTACTATTAGACTCTCGACTTTTAGACAGTTAAGAAAAGGAAGAATGAAGGAATTATGAGAGTAGTTTTCTTCCAGGGAGCACACCTACCCCGAGTGAGAAGACCTAGTTCTTTCCTAATATGTGTGCAAGAGCCCACCTGTTTCTGTTTCGATTGTTTCAGGCCTTTTCTTGCTAGAGTTAAGAGCTAGCACTGTGTCTAAAACAAGCAACATGGGTAAGCGTATTTCTGTCCAAGAAGCTAATAGGATTTAGGATGGTCTATAGCCAGACCCTGTCAGTTTGTGGTACTTTGCAAAAAAAGCACACAAAGAAAATAAGTTCCAGATGATAGAAGGGAGCTTTATCTTCATTTCTTCCACAGCCTAAGCTCTGCTTTAATGCCTCTAAGATTTATGGGGAGAATATCCAAGCACCTGATGCTGCGTGGGCAAGTCAATGGAGAGTCAGAGCCAAGCTCCGTGTGGGTCCCAGTTTGGGTATCTGTGAAGGAAGTGGGGGCTGAACTGAATTTTTTAACTACATATTTTCTCTGTAATATTTCCAATACATATTTTCTGTAATATATATACATATTTATTTTTATCTCCACAAGGATTTCCTAAGAAATATCCCAGGAAGTTTATTTTTGTCTGATCTCTATGACAAATGGCTCGGTGTTATTGATCAAGGGAACGAAGAGGAGAAGATGACTGCAGCGCGGAGGTAATGATGCAATAATTACTCTACTCTGGTCACATCTCCAAAATACAGCCAACATACTATTAGGAAAACATTGGCTTACGTTTTGCAGCTTTGCCCACTATAATCATGACCAACGCCAAAGACTTTCAATTCTTCACACCCATGGGGGTCAGCTTCAGAATAGAGGCACGCTTTAGGGCTATTATTGTTCTTCTCCTGATCTTATTAATGTGGACTCCTTGGCCGTTTGACACCTTCTGGATCCATGAAACTTGTAGACGAAATTCCCTGGTTCAAGACACATGCAAGAGCATCACCTGCCAGGGCTATGACCTTAAAAGTCTGTCAAACATTTAACTAACCAGAGAAGTGTTTATCTGGCTCAGGAACTAAATTCAGTGCAACAATTTTGTCTACATTCATGCCTGGAACTCTGCTAGAGAGGGGTTGTGTGCTAGATATACAAGGATGTATCCTTTTCCCTGTCTCTGTTTTTCCAACCTCCTAAGTGGAATCATTTACCTAATTTAAAGTGTGTTTTTCTGACCTTAGGCTTTTAGCCCAGCTGCCAAGAGCAAATATTGTTCTCTTGCGATACCTTTTTGGAGTGCTATACAACATTGAGCAACATTCCTCATCCAATCAGATGACAGCTTATAATTTATCCGTTTGTATAGCCCCAAGCGTTCTTTACCCACCTGATTCCGGCACCTTGGAATTGGAAGACAACTTGATAAAAAAGGTAATGAGAGCTCTCATTTTTGTCGCCCAAGGGGTAGAATCCCTACTTTGAACCGGACATGTGCAGTAGTAACTCTGACGGATGGAACTTTGTGAAGTGCACATTTTCATTAGGCCCCTGTGGAGTGGCAGAGTTCTTTATCCTACTCTGGCAGGGTCTGGGAAGGGGTGTCGTTAAACGGGAAACTCGGAGCAGTCGAGTCACTTCTTCACCCTCCAGGAGACTAAACACTAGAGTGACTAAACGAGAGAGAGAAGAGTCGTGTGATACGATAGGAAAGAACCTGGGCTTTGGATCTTCACCAGTCAAGGTTCAACTCTCAGCCTAATCCCTGAGGGACTCGTAACCTTGGGCAAAGCCATGGTTTCCTCACTACACAATGGCGACAACAGCCAGCTCCTCCGGTCATCACTGGCACATCCTGGGTGGCTTGGGCAATATGAGCCCCCATGCCTCCAAACACATTGGCCTTCCTCTGCCAATTATGGCTCATCTAGAAAAGTACTCAGCTACTATTTCACCTCTGCTACGTCATTTGGAAACTAGCAAGAGATTCCAGAATATCCTAATAAGATGACAGGTCTTCCCCAAGCTCACACAGAGAGAGCCAGCATGAGGCAAAGCAATGCGTGAGAAGGGACTGAAGTTAGACAGACAGATACATTTTCTCTCCAGCTGTGTGGGTTTTCCCTCACAACCCCACCAAAATCTCTGCTTCCCAACTTTAAGATACTTCTTCATTTAAGAAATGGTTTTCTTAAGTTTTTGTTCATACTTTATAAAGTTTCATAAGATGTTATACATCAGTTGCAGCTCAATAAAACTGGAAACAAAATTTAAAAACAAAAAATAAGTAAACTTTAATAAGGTAGGCTACTTTGAAAATTATCCTTGTTTTATTTATATTTTGATATGTATTTATTTGAGAGAGGGAAAGAGAGAGCGTGAGCGGGGTAGGGGCAGAAGAAGAGGGAGAGGGAGAGGGAGAAGCCCAAGCCCATTCCCCGCTGAGCACGGAGCCCAAAGTTGGCTCCATGTGGGGCTGGATCTCACCATCATGAGATAGTGATCTGAGCCAGAATCAAGAGTCAGATGCTCAACTGAGGGGCCCCAAAAATTATCCTAGGCTTAATGATGTAACCACTGATACCAAAATGTTGGCTATTAAACTAGGCCACATACTAAAACTTTAGCCTACTGATTAGCAGTATTTTAAAATGTGTACCCAAAGTACACGGAAAAGTATCACTCTTCCTAAGTTATTTCTTAGAGAATTCTGGTCTCTGTTTTTTATTTTATTATTTTTTTTAAGATTATATTTATTTTCTTGACAGAGGCAGACACAGCGAGAGAGGGAACACAAGCAGGGGGAGTGGGAGAGGGAGAATCAGGCTTCCCACTGAGCAGGGAGCCCGATATAGGGCTGATCGCATCACCCTGGGATCATGAGCTGAGCTGAAGGCAGACGCTTGACCGATTGAGCCACCCAGGCGCTCCTGGTCTCTATGTATTTTTATCAGTTCTGAATTTTTCTGGGAAATCTTTCACATTCTTTCTTAGATCCAAGGTCTATATACATAATGTGATTTATAACTATGCCCTATGGAAAAGAGCACCCCATTCTTGTCTTTTTGTGTTACAGATTTCTCTTGTACAATTTCTCATTGAAAATTGCCTTAAAATATTTGGAGAAGACATCACTTCCCTCTTGGGAGAGAACTCAATGAGTCGTGGTAACAGCGAGCAGGCTGCAGGTACCGGGAATAATTTTATTGGCTTTAGTGAGAAGCAGACATCAAGGCTGCCAGGGGTCATGGGAGATGCTTAGACAGAGCTGTTCTGGAGCCCAGAGCATCGCCAGGGCAAGGATTTCCATGGGCTCCTTCTTCCGAAGGCTGGCTCACAGGTCAAGGGAGGTTCCACACTGTTGTGAGACCAAAGAAAGGATAAGATGAGGTCTCTGACTTCAAGAAGTTTCTAGTGTAGATCATAACAGAATTAGGACTCATCATGGTATGCCACAGTGTTTGGGAACTTTTTCTCACAAAATTTAAATGGGTGCTATATATATATCTATGTAGTTATATATATTACATAATTATATACTGATACTATATAAATATATAAACATAATGTATATATTTATGTATATTACATGTGCGCTGGTTGAAGCCAGAGAAAGGGGCCTTTCTTCCCCTCCCTCCTCTTTTGGCTCAGGGGCTCTTGAGGCACCACAGGATTCCAGTGCCCTTTGAAATGGGTTGAAAAGAATTGGCATCTTTGAGAAAAAAGAACTTGACTTGATGTCAAACAACCTCTCCAGAGTGTAAATTCCTGTACCCCCATTTACCAGCTATATTATCTTTGGCCCGTTATAGCAGCTAAGCATCAGTTTATTCATCTCTAAAATGTGGATAAAAATAATGTCTAAATCTTAGAATTGTGGTGTAGAATAAATAAGATGATGGATGTAATCCAAAAAAAGCCATTAATAGCACTAGGAGAAGTGCCCCTGACACTAGAGGTAGTATGATTTGAGCCTAGCTAATCAGACCTAACTGGCAGCAGTCCACCTTAGAAGGTAGACTTTCGATTCAGAACCTGGAGACACGTATCATCAATCCCTCCATATTTTTGACATTTCTTGTTTTCATGACACGTACCACATACTTTGAGGAAAGTTTTAGGAAAATACAAGTCATCAGGAATTAAGATGAGTCTGAGGCACCTGGGTGGCTCAGTCGTTAAACATCTGCCTTCAGCTCAGGTCATGATCCTGGGGTCCTGGTACCCGAGCCCCGAGTCGGGCTCCCTGCTCCAAGGGAAGCCTGCTTCTCCCTCTCCCCCGCCCCCTACTTGTGTTCCCTCTCTTGCTGTCTCTCTCTCTCTGTCAAAAAATAAATAAAATCTGTAAAAAAAAAAAAAAAAGGAAAAAGAAGGTTCAACATATTAAACAACAACTACTACTACGAGTACTCTCACTTCTTCCTTAGACTCCAGCCTGAAGACTGTGAAAACCCGTTCTTTCAGAGATAGGGCGTTTTGTCGGGGTTCCAGCACTTCCCAGCACAACCAGTGCACAGCCCCACCTTCCGCAAAGCCAGGACAGCTCTTTGGAGTTCCCCTCATGGATGTGTGTGATAAAGACAACTTCTCCTTCCCAATTCTGGTAGGTCATCTCATTTTGGTCTTCAATAGCCCTCCTGAGAAGGGGAAACTCTGAGAGGCCAAGCGTCCTCATCCAAATCTATCCCCAAATGAAGATGTCATTAGACAGCCCCTGGCTTTGGTTGAGAAGCTCTGTTACTGTTATTTCAAAGAATAGAATCTGATTTCGGTCCTGCAGAGTCATGAGGCAAATACAACAGGAAAAGTCATTCTTCTCCATTCCACTTGGGTCTTGTTTCCACAAAGACATGCGGAGGCTTGTTCAGATCAGTCAAAATGGACTCTGTGTATGTGAGTCTCTGAGAGTCCACCTCATCTTCACACTCTCCCTTCATTGCCTTCCTGAACTCACATGAGTCTCAAGTCTCCTTCAGCGGAGTCTACTCAGTCTAACAATTGTAAACATCTGACACAAGCATAGACTCATCCTCTGGCAAATAGGAATCTGTTAATCCTAACAGAATATGTCAAATGAAAGCCACAGAGTTTGGTCTGTGTTATCTCAAACTGCTATAGTGAATTGTCAGTGTGGACATTCACTGAGTATTCGGTGTCTCTGCAAGTACTGTACGGGATGTAGGGAACGTTCCGCTAGCTATGAAGAAATGTATCATCTTAGCTAGCATGTTACCTGCTAGCTACTACCCCAGATCCTTGCTTCACAGCAAATTTAGGGGCTAGCTAGGATTATCATCCTCCGCACTGCCTAAACGAATCAGAAAAGCCTCAGTACAGGATGCGTGTGCCCCAGCTCACACAATAGATAAGTAGCATAATAGACTTCAGATCCGTTGGATTCCCTGAGTCCAGCCCTTATTAAATTTCTACACAGCAGGGAGAGGACATGAAGATACAGCAAAAGACAATGAAGGACTCATGAGAAGGGAGGGTAATCAGAGAAGGGGAAGAGAGTTTCTGAGCCTGACTTTAAAAGAGGGAAGGAAATAGAACAAGTAGGAATGGAGTATACAGTCACTTAAAGAGAAATAAACAAATTGGAAATGAGTATTTCCTAAATAGACTTCCATACTTGCGGAAAAGCATGTATGTAAGGGAAAAATGTGAAAAGAATGGGAAAGTAGGAAACAGACGGTGATTCCGCAAAGGCCTTGAGACAGAGAAGTTTGATTTAAAAGTGTAAACTTAGTAGAAAATCTGATTAAAAGAAGTGTTGAAAATGTTTCAGTGTATGACTGTAAAATGGATATATGGGTAGAAAGTATATAGAGAGACACTGAAAAAACAGCAATCTAAATTGACTTTAGTCCTTCCCGCTCTAAAACATTGTACCATTACATTCCCCTTTTCTTTCAAAACGGAGGCAGGCATGGTATATGAGATGCCATATACTTTTCTTTTCTTCCTACACGGTATGCTTTCCTTTATTAATCAAAAAGGGCCACTCGCAGAAGGCATCTTCAGAAACTCAGCCAATATAAAATCCCGCAGAGTCCTAACGGAGAAACTAAATTCTGGGATCAAAGTGAACCCGTACAGGGAATCTATTCATGTGTTCGCATCCGTCTTAAAGGTAGGGAAGGTTCTAGCATTATCCACATGTGAGTAACTGAAGCGATGATGGGTGTCCTTCATCATGACTGCTCAAGAACCATAACGGGCATAGTAGATTAAGAACCTGACAAGCTAAAAAACGCTTGACAAAATCAAAATTTAAGGAAGCTACTTTAGGAGTTAAAAGCCCCATGTGTTAGAAATACTTTCTGTTTTCACCACACACGGCCCTCCGCACCTTCACTCCTGAAGACTCCATGCAAAATACTAATACTGAAATGACTACAGTCATGATACTAAATTTCAAAATACGCACTGACACAAACACACTGTTTACCGAAGCAGACATCCTCACCACCCTCCTAATGAAGGCAAACTTTCCAAAAGAAATAGAACAGGGAGGGGCGCCTGGGTGGCTCAGATGGTTAAGCGTCTGCCTTCGGCTCAGGTCATGATCCCAGTGTCCTGGGATCGAGCCCCGCATCGGGCTTCCTGCTCAGCGGGGAGCCTGCTTCTCCCTCTCCCTCTGCCTCTCTCCCTCCTCATGCTCTCTCCCTCTCTATCTCTGTGTCTCAAATGAATAAGAAAAAAAAAAAAAAAGAAGAAATAGAACAGGGAAAGAATTTAATCCATGCAGCTTGGCACATATGAACAGCTCTGAACAACCCTATGTTAATGTAGTACTGACTACAGTCTTAGAATCTCAGTCACATTTGGTCTTCCCTTGTCCCCCATTAATGTTCAAAGATGTGATCAATAGCAAAGTCCAGAAATGACTTAGGTAACCACTCCTACACTGGGGCCATAGTGATATCCAATAGTAATATACATATAGGCATCAGGAGACAGGAGAAGAATGATGATACACTAGGTAGCAAGATGAGTGTTGCCCTCTGTAAGGTGCACACATGGAATCCATTTTCTAGCAAGAGTTGGTAGGTTCTTTTCTGATTCTGTGTTATAAGCACTGACTAGGAGGAGCGTGAGCACTTCTGAGTATAGTGCTTAGACATTTCTAAAGTTTTCTCTTCCTGAAGTTGACGGATCTTGGTGGAGAATCAGACTCTGCAACCTTGGCCTTGATAATATCATGGCAAACTAACTGGACAATTGTCCTAAACTAGAAATGAATCTATCCTCAGGACCATAGTGAGTCTGCCATTAGACTCTCGACTTTTAGACAGTTAAGAAAAGGAAGAATGAAGCAATTGTGAGAGTAGCTTTCTTCCAGGGAGCACACATACCCCGAATGAGAAGACCTATTTCTTGCCTAATGTGTGTGCAAGAGCCCACCTGTTTGTGTTTTGATTGTTTCAGGCCTTTTCTTGCTAGAATTAAGAGCTGGCGCTGTGTCTAAAACAAGCAACATGAGTATGTGTATTTCTGTCCAGGAAGCTAATAGGATTTAGGATGGTCTATAGCCAGACCCTGTCAGTTTGTGGTACTTTGCAAAAAAAGCACACACACAAAATAAGTTCCAGATGATAGAAGGGAGCTTTATCTTCATTTCCACCACAGACTAAGCTCTGCTTTATGCCTCTAAGTTTTAGTGGGAGAAAATCCAAGCATCTGCTGCTGCGTGTGCAAGTCAATGGAGAGTCAGAGCCGAGCACCGTGTGGGTCCCAGTTTGGGTATCTGTGAAGGAAGTGGGGGCTGAACTGAATTTTTTAACTACATATTTTCTCTGGAATATTTCCATTACATATTTTCTATAACATATATACATAGTTTTTTTTTTTTTATCTCCCTAAGGATTTTCTTAGAAATATACACGGAAGTATATTTTTATCTGATCTCTATGACAAATGGCTCGGTGTTATTGATCAAGGCAACGAAGAGGAGAAGATAACTGCAGCCCAGAGGTAATGATGCAATAATTACTCTGGTCACATCTCCAAAATACAGCCAACATACTATTAGGAAAACATTGGCTTATGTTTTGCAGCTTTGCTCACTATAATCATGACCAATGCCAAAGAGTTTCAATTCTTCACACCCATGGGGGCCAGGTTCATAATGGAGACACACTTTAGGGCCATTATCGTTCTTCTCCTGATCTTATTAATGTGGAATCCTTGGCCGTTTTACATCTTTTGGATACATGAAACTGTTAGGGGAAATCCCCTGGTCCAAGACAGATGCAAGAACATCAATTGCCAGGGCTATGACCTTAAAGGTCTGTCAAACATTTAACTAACCAGAGAAGATTTTATCTGGCGCAGGAACTGAAGTCAGGGCAACAATTTTGTATACATTCATGCCTGGAACTCTGCTACAGCGGGTTGTGTGCTAGATATACAAGGATGTATCCTGTTCCCTGTCTTTTTTTTCAACCTCCTAAGTGGAATCACTTGCCTAATTTAAATGTGTATTTTTCTGACCTTAGGCTTTTACCCCAGCTGCCAAGAGGAAATGTTGTTCTCTTGCGATACCTTTTTGGAGTGCTATACAACATTGAGCAACTTTCCTCATCCAATCAGATGACAGCTTATAATTTATCCGTTTGTATAGCCCCAAGCGTTCTTTACCCACCTGATTCCGGCAGCTTGGAATTGGAAGACAACTTGATAAAAAAGGTAATGAGAGCTCTCATTTTTGCCCCCATGGGGTAGAATCCCTACTTTGAACCGGATATGTGCAGTAGTAACTCTGACGGATGGAACTTTGTGAAGTGCACATTTTCATTAGGCCCCTGTGGAGTGGCAGAGTTCTTTATGCTACTCTGGCGGGGTCTGGGAAGGGGTGTCGTTAAACGGGAAACTCGGAGCAGTCGAGTCACTTCTTCCCCCTCCAGGAGACTAAACACTAGACTGACTAAACGAGAGAGAGAAGAGTCATGTGATACGATAGGAAAGAACCTGGGCTTTGGAGCTTCACCAGTCAAGGTTCAACTCTCAGCCTAATCCCTGAGGGACTCGTAACCTTGGGCAAAGCCATGGTTTCCTCACTACACAATGGCGACAACAGCCAGCTCCTCCGGTCATCACTGGCACATCCTGGGTGGCTTGGGCAATATGAGCCCCCATGGGTCCAACCACATTGGCCTTCCTCTGCCAATTGTGGCTCATCTAGAAAAGTACTCAACTACTATTTCACCCCTGCTACATCTTATGGAAACTAGCAAAAGATTCCAGACCATCCTAACAAGATGACAGGTCTTCCCCAAGCTCACACAGAGAGAGCCAGCATGAGGCAAACCAATGCGTGAGAAGGTACTGAATTTAGACAGACAGATACATTTTCTCTCCAGCTGTGTGGGTTTTCCCTCACAACCCCACCAAAATCTCTGCTTCTCAACTTTAAGATTCTTCTTCATTTAAGAAATGGTTTCTTAAGTTTTCGTTCATACTTTATAAAGTTTCATAAGATGTTATACATCAGTTACAGCTCAATAAAACTGGAAACAAAATTTAAAAACAAAAAACAGGTAAACTTTAATAAGGTAGGCTACTTTGAAAATTATCCTAGTTTTATTTATTTTTTGATATTTATTTTTTTGAGAGAGGGAAAGAGAGCGTGAGCGGGGCAGGGGCAGTAGAAGAGGGAGAGGGAGAAGACCAAGCCAATTCCCTGCTGAGCCCAGAGCTGAAAGTTGGCTCCATGTGGGGCTGGATCTCACCACTATGAGATTGTGATCTGAGCCGAAATCAAGAGTCAGACGCTCAACTGAGGGGCCCCGAAATTTATCCTAGGCTTAAAGATGTAACCACTGATCCCAAAATGTTAGCTATGAAACTAGGCCACACATTAAAACTTTAGCCCACTGATGAGCAGTATTTCAAAATGTGTACCCAAAGTACACGGGAAAGCATCAGTCATTCTAAGTTATTTCCTAGAGAACTCTGGTCTCTATTTTTTTTTTTGTTTTTTTTTTTTTAAATTTTATTTATTTACTTGACAGAGAGGGAACTCAAGCAGGGAGAGTGGGAGAGGAAGAAGCAGGCTTCCCGCTGAGCAGGGAGCCAGATATAGGGCTGATCCCAGCACCCTGGGATCATAAGCTGAGCCGAAGGGAGACGCGTAACTGACTGAGCTACCCAGGTGCCCCTGGTTTCTACGTATTTTTATCAACTCTGAATTTTTCTGATAAGTCCTTCACGTTTTTTCTTAGATCCAAGGTCTATATACAAAATGTGTTTTCTAACTATGGCCTATGGAAAAGAACACCCCATTTTTGTCTTTTTGTGTTACAGATTTCTCTTGTACAATTTCTCCTTGAAAATTGCCTCAGGATATTTGGAGAAGACATCACTTCCCTCTTGGGAGAGAAGTCAATGAGTCGTGGTAAGAGCGAGAAGACTGCAGCTACCGGGAATAATTTAATTGGCTTTAGTGAGAAGCAGACAGCAAGGCTGCCAAGGGTTATGGGAGATGCATAGACAGTGCTGTTCTGGAGCCCAGAGCATCGCCAGGGCAATGATTTCCATGTGCTCCTTCTTCCAAAGGCTGGCTCACAGGTCAAGGGAGGTTCCACACTGTTGTGAGACCAAAGAAAGGATAAGATGAAGTCTCTGACTTCAAGAAGTTCCTAGGGTAGATCATAAAGGCATTAGGACTCATCATGGTATGCCATAGTGTTTGGGAATTTTTTCTAACAAAATTCTCAAAGGGTGCTATACATATATATACATATAGATTTGTATATATATGTATATATGTAATAACGAATCAGAAAAGCCTCAGTACAGGATGTATGTATATGTATGTATATATTTGTATATACATATATATATGTAAAACACATCATACATATGTATGTAGTTATATATAATATATAATTAGATACTTATACTATATAAATATATTATCATAATATATATATTTATGTATATTAGAAGTGCTCTGGTTGAAGCCAGAGAAGGGGCCTTTCTTCCCCTCCGTCCTCTTTTCGCTCAGGGGCTCTTGAGGCACCACAGGATTCCAGTGGCTTTAAAATGGGTTGAAAAGAACTGGCATCATTGAGAAAAAAGGACTTGACTTGATGTCAAACTACCTCTCCAGAGTGTAAATTCCTGTGCCCGCATTTACCAGCTATATTATCTTTGCCCAGTTATACCACCTCAGCATCAGTTAATTCATCTCTAAATATGGATAAAAATAATGTCTAAATCTTAGAATTGTTGTGTAGAATAAATAAGATGATGGATGTAATCCAAAAAAAGCCATTAATATGACTAGGAGAAGTGCCCCTGAGACTAAAGCTAGTATGTTTTGAGCCTAGCTAATAACAGCTGTCAGCAGTCCACCTTGGAAGGTAGACTTTCGATTCAGAACCTGTAGACACGTATCATCAATCCCTCCATATTTCTGACATTTCTTGGTTTTATGATGCTTACGACATTGATTTGAGGAAATCTTTAGGAAAATACAAGTCATCAGGAATTAAGATGAGTCTGGGGCACCTGGGTGGCTCAGTCGTTAAGTAACTGCCTTCAGCTCAGGTCATGATCTCGGGGTCCTGGGATCGAGCCCCGCATCGGGCTCCCTGCTCCGAGGGAAGCCTGCTTCTCCCTCTCCCCGTCCCCCTGCTTGTGTTCCCTCTCTCGCTGTCTCTCTCCCTCTATCAAAATATAAATAAAATCTGTAAAAAAAAAAAAAAAAAAAGGAAGAAGAAGTTTCAGCGGATTAAAGAACAACTACTACCACTAGTACTCTCTCTTCTTCCTTAGACTCCGGCCAGAAAATTGTGAAAAGCTGTTCCTTCAGAGACAGGGCCTTTTGGTGGGGCTCCAGCACTTGCCAGCAAAACCAGTGCACAGCCCCACATTCTGCAAAGCCAGGAGAGCTCTTTGGAGTTTGCCTCATGGTTGTGTGTTATAAAGACAACCTGGCCTTCCCAATTCCGGTAGGTCATCTCATTTTGGTCTTCTATAGCTCTTCTGAGGTGGGGAAACACTGAGAGGCCATGTGTCCTCATCCAAATCTATCCCGAAATAGAGAAGTCCTTAGACAGCCCTGGTTTTGGCTCAGAAGCTCTGTTACTGTTATTTCAAGGAACAGAATCTGACTTAGGTCCAGCAGAGTCATGAGGCAAATACAACAGGAAAAGACATTCTTGTCCATTCTACTTGGGTCTTCTTTCTGCAAAAACCCACCGAGGCCTGTTCAGATGAGTCAAAATGACTCTGTGTATGTGAGTCTCTGAGAGTCCACCTCATCTTCACACTCTCCCTTCACTGCCTTCCTGCACTCACATGAGTCTCAAGTCTCCTTCAACGGAGTCTACTCAGTCTAAAAACTGCAAACATCTGACACGAGCATAGACTCATCCTCTGGCAAATAGGAATCTGTTAATCCTAACAGAATATGTCAAATGAAAGCCACAGAGTTTGGCCTGTGTTATCTCAAACTGCTCTAGTGAATTGTCAGTGTGGACACTCACTGAGTATTTGGTGTCTCTGCAAGCACTGTATGGGATGTAGGGAACGTTGTGCTAGCTATGAAGAAATGTATCGTATTAGCTAGCATGTTACCTGCTACCTACTACCCCAGGTCCTTGCATCACAGCAAATTTAGGGGCTAGCTAGGATTATCATCCTCCGCACTGCCTAAACGAATCAGAAAAGCCTCAGTACAGGATGTATGTGCCCCAGCTCACACAATAGATAAGTAGCATAATAGACTTCAGATCCGTTGGATTCCCTGAGTCCAGCCCTTATTAAGATTCTACACAGCACAGAGAGGACATGAAGATAGAGCAAAAGACAATGAAAGACTCATGAGAAGGGAGGGTAATCAGAGAAGGGGAAGAGAGTTTCTGAGCCTGACTTTAAATGAAGGGAAGGAAATAGAACAAGTAGGAATGGAGTATACAGTCACTTAAAGAGAAATAAACAAATGGGAAATGAGTATTTCCTAAATAGACTTCCATACTTCGGGAAGAGCATCTACGTAAGGGAATAATGAGAAAAGAATGGTAAAGTAGGAAACACATGGTGATTGCACAAAGGCCTTGAAGCAGAGAAGTTTGATTTAAGAGTGGAAACTCAATGGAAAGGAAAATCTGATTAAAAGAAGTGTTTAAAATGTTTCAGTGTATGACTGTAAAATGGATATTTGGGTAGAAAGTATATAGAGAGACACTGAAAAAAAAAAAATCTAAATTGACTTTGGTCCTTCCCGCTCTAAAACAGTGTACCATTACATTCCCCTCCTCTTTCAAAACGGAGGCAAGCTTGTGCTCTGCGTGTGTGGATATGAGATGCCATATACTTTTCTTTTCTTCCTACAGGCTATGCTTTCCTTTATTAATCAAAAAGGGCCCCTCACAGAAGGCATATTCAGAAACTCAGCCAATATAAAATCCTGCCATGTCCTAAAGGAGAAACTAAATTCTGGGGTCAAAGTGAACCCGTACAGCGAATCTGTTCATGTGGTCGCATCCGTCTTAAAGGTAGGGAAGGTCCTAGCATTATCCACACACGAGTAACTGAAGCTATGATTGGTGTCCTTCATCATGACTGCTCAAGAACCATAACGGGCATAATAGATTAAGAACCTGACAAGCTGAAAAACGCTTGACAAAATCAAAATTTAAGGAAGCTACTTTTGGAGTTAAAAGCCCCATGTGTTAGAAATACTTTCTGTTTTGACTACACACCGCCCTCCCCACCTTCACTCCTGAAGACTCCATGCAAAATACTAATACTGAAATGACTACTAGTCATGATAATAAATTTCAAAATACGCACCGATACATACACACAGTTTACCCATGAAAACATCCTCACCACCCTCCTAATGAAGGCAAACTTTCCAAAAGAAATAGAACAGGGAAAGAATTTAATCCATCCACCTTGGCACTTATGAACAGGTCTGAACAACCCTATGTTAACGTAGTAATGACTACGGTCGTAGAATCTCAGTCTCATTTGCTCTTCCCTTGTCCCCCGTTAATGTTTGAAGATGTGATCAATAGCAAGGTCCAGAAATGACTTAGGTAACCACTCCTACACTGGGGCCATAGTGATATCCAGTAGTAATATACATACAGGCATCAGGAGACAGGAGAAGAATGATGATACACTAGGTAGCAAGATGAGTGTTGCCCTCTGTAAGGTGCACACATGGAATCCATTTTCTAGCAAGAGTTAGGAGGTTCTTTCCTGATTCCGTGTTATAAGCACCGACTAGGAAGAGGGTGAGCACTTGTGGGGAGAGTGCTTAGACATTTCTAAACTTTTCTCTTCCTGAAGTTGACGGATCTTGGTGGAGAATCAGACTCTGCAACCTTGGCCTTGATAATATCATGGCAAACTAACTGGACAATTGTCCTAAACTAGAAATGAATCTATCCTCAGGACCACAGTGAGTCTGCCATTAGACTCTCGACTTTTAGACAGTTAAGAAAAGGAAGAATGAAGCAATTGTGAGAGTGGCTTTCTTCCAGGGAGCACGCATACCCCGAGTGAGAAGACCTACTTCTTTCCTAATATGTGTGGAAGAGCCCACCTGTTTGTGTTTTGATTGTTTCAGGCCTTTTCTTGCTAGAGTTAAGAGCTAGCACCTTGTCTAAAACAAGCAACATGGGTATGTGTATTTCTGTCCAAGAAGCTAATAGGATTTAGGATGGTCTATAGCCAGACCCTGTCAGTTTCTGGTACTTTGCAAAAAAAAAGCACACACACAAAATAAGTTCCAGATGATAGAAAGGAGCTTTATCTTCATTTCCACCACAGGCTAAGCTCTGCTTTTTGCCTCTAAGTTTTAGCGGGAGAAAATCCAAGCACCTTCTCCTGTGTGTGCAAGTCAATGGAGAGTCAGAGCTGAGCTTCGTGTGGGTCCCAGTTTGGGTATCTCTGAAGGAAGTGGGGGCTGAACTGAATTTTTTAACTATATATTTTCTCTGGAATATTTCCACTACATATTTTCTATAATATATACACATATTTTTTTTATCTCCCTAAGGACTTTCTAAGAAACATCCCAGGAAGTGTATTTTTATCTGATCTCTATGACAAATGGCTCGGTGTTATTGATCAAGGCAACAAAGAGGAGATGATAACTGCAGCTCGGAGGTAACGATGCAATAATTACTCTACTCTGGTCACATCTCCAAAATACACCCAACATACTATTAGGAAAACATTGGCTTACGTTTTCCAGCTTTGCCCACTATAATCATGACCAACACCAAAGAATTTCGAGTCTTCACACCCATGGGGCCCAGCTTCAGAATAGAGGCACACTTTAGGGCTATTATTGTTCTTCTCCTGATCTTATTAATGTGGACTCCTTGGCCGTTTTACACCTTCTGGATCCTTGAAACTGGTAGACAAAATTCCCTGGTCCAAGACAGATCAAGAGCAACAACTGCCAGGGCTATGACCTTAAAAGTCTGTCAGACATTTAACTAACCAGAGAAGTGTTTATCTGGCTCAGGAACTGAATTCAGTGCAACAATTTTGTCTACATTCATGCATGGAACTCTGCTACAGCGGGTGGTGTGCTAGATATACAAGGATGTATCCTGTTCCCTGTCTCTGTTTTTCCAACCTCCTAAGTGGAATCACTTGCCTAATTTAAAAGTGTGTTTTTTTGACTTTAGGCTTTTAGCCCAGCTGCCAAGAGCAAATGTTGTTCTCTTGCGATACCTTTTTGGAGTGCTATACAACATTGAGCAACATTCCTCATCCAATCAGATGAAACCTTATAATTTATCCGTTTGTATAGCCCCAAGCGTTCTTTACCCACCTGATTCCGGCAGCTTGGAATTGGAAGACAACTTGACAAGAAAGGTAATGAGAGCTCTCATTTTTGTCCCCCAGGGGGTAGAATCCCTACTTTGAACCGGACATGTGCAGTAGTAACTCTGACAGAAGGAACTTTGTGAAGTGCACATTTTCATTAGGCCCCTGTGGAGTGGCAGAGTTCTTTATGCTACTCTGGCGGGGTCTGGGAAGGGCTGTCGTTAAACGGGAAACTCGGAGCAGTCGAGTCACTTCTTCCCCCTCCAGGAGACTAAACACTAGACTGACTAAACGAGAGAGAGAAGAGTCGTGTGATACGATAGGAAAGAACCTGGGTTTTGGAGCTTCACCAGTCAAGGTTCAACTCTCAGCCTAATCCCTGAGGGACTCGTAACCTTGGGCAAAGCCATGGTTTCCTCACTACACAATGGCGACAACAGCCAGCTCCTCCGGTCATCACTGGCACATCCTGGGTGGCTTGGGCAATATGAGCCCCCATGCCTCCAAACACATTGGCCTTCCTCTGCCAATTGTGGCTCATCTAGAAAAGTACTCGGCTACTATTTCACCTCTGCTACATCATATGGAAACTAGCAAGAGATTCCAGAATATCCTAATAAGATGACAGGTCTTCCCCAAGCTCACCCAGAGAGAGCCAGCATGAGGCAAAGCAATGCGTGAGAAGGGACTGAAGTTAGACAGACAGATACGTTTTCTCTCCAGCTGTGTGGGTTTTCCCTCACAACCCCACCAAAATCCCTGCTTCCCAACTTTATGATACTTCTTCATTTAAGAAATGGTTTTCTTAAGTTGTTGTTCATACTTTATAAAGTTTCATAAGATGGTATACATCAGTTACAGCTCAGTAAAACTGGAAACAAAATTTAAAAGCAAAAAATAAGTAAACTTTAATAAGGTAGGCTACTTTGAAAATTATCCTTGTTTTATTTATATTTTGATATGTATTTATTTGAGAGAGGGAAAGAGAGAGCGTGAGCGGGGCAGGGGCAGAAGAAGAGGGAGAGGGAGAGGGAGAAGCCCAAGCCCATTCCCCGCTGAGCACGGAGCCCAAAGTTGGCTCCATGTGGGGCTGGATCTCACCACCATGAGATCGTGATCTGCGCCGAAATCAAGAGTCAGACGCCCAACAGAGGGGCCCCGAAATTTATCCTAGGCTTAAAGACGTAACCACTGATCCCAAAATGTTAGCTCTTAAAGTAGGCCACGCATTATAACTTTAGCCCACGGATGGGCAGTATTTTAAAATGTGTACCCAAAGTACACGGGAAAGTATCACTCTTTCTAAGTTATTACTGAGAGAACTCTGGTTTCTATGTGTTTCTGTTTTTTTGTGTTTTTTTTTTAAACTTTTATTTATTTACTTGACTGAGAGAGTCACAGCGAGAGAGGGAACACAAGCAGGGGGAGTGGGAGAGGGAGAAGCAGGCTTCCCGCTGAGCAGGGAGCCCGATGTAGGGCTGATCCCAGCACCCTGGGATTATGACCTGAGCCGAACGCAGACGCTTAACCGACTGAGCCACCCAGGCGCCCCTGGTTTCTACGTATTTTTATCAAGTCTGAATTTTACTGGGAAGTCCTTCCCATTTTTTCTTAGATCCAAGGTCTGTATACAAAATGTGATTTATAACTATGCCCTATGGAAAAGAGCACCCCATTCTCGTCTTTTTGTGTTACAGATTTCTCTTGTACAATTTCTCATTGAAAATTGCCTCAGGATATTTGGAGAAGACATCACTTCCCTCTTGGGAGAGAACTCAATGAGTCGTGGTAACAGCGAGAAGGCTGCAGGTACCGGGAGTAATTTAATTGGCTTTAGTGAGAAGCAGACAGCAAGGTTGCCAGGGGTCATGGGAGATGCTTAGACAGAGCTGTTCTGGAGCCCAGAGCATCGCCAGGGCAAGGATTTCCATGGGCTCCTTCTTCCGAAGGCTGGCTCACAGGTCAAGGGAGGTTCCACACTGTTGTGAGACCAAAGAAAGGATAAGATGAGGTGTCTGACTTCAAGAAGTTTCTAGTGTAGATCATAAGGGCATTAGGACTCATCATGGTATGCTACAGTGTTTGGGAATTTTTTCTAACAAAATTCTAAGTGGGTGCTATATATCTATATATATATACAACATCATACATATATATGTAGTTATATAGATATATAATATATAATTAGATACTTATACTATATAAATATAACCATAGTATATATATTTATGTATATTAGATGTGCTCTGGTTGAAGCCAGAGCAAGGGGCCTTTCTTCCCCTCCCTCCTCTTTTGGCTCAGGGGCTCTTGAGGCACCACAGGATTCCAGTGCCCTTTGAAACAGGTTGAAAAGAACTGGCATCATTGAGAAAAAAGGACTTGACTTGATGTCAAAAAACCTCTCCAGAGTGTAAAGTCCTGTGCCCCCATTTACCAGCTATATTACCTTTGATCAGTTTTTCTAGCTCAGCATCAGTTTATTCATCTATAAATGTGGATAAAAATAATGTCTAAATCTTAGAATTGTGGTAAACACTAAATAAGATGATGGATGGAATCCAAAAAAAGCCATTAATAGGACTAGGAGAAGTGCCCCTGAGACTAGAGCTAGTACGATTTGAGCCTAGCTAATCACAGCTACCTGGCAGCAGTCCACCTTAGAAGGTAGACTTTTGATTCAGAACCTGGAGACACGTATCATCAATCCCTCCATATTTCTGACATTTCTTGGTTTTATGATGCTTACCACATTGCTTTGAGGAAATCTTTAGGAAAATACAAGTCATCAGGAATTAAGATGTGTCTGGGACGCCTGGGTGGCTCAGTCATT